AGTAAATTCCATGCTGCTAAATTTCGTTTTCAATATATTGTTGCAAGATAACTCAGTAAGATTCTATTCTTCTGCAACAGTAAATTCAGATGGAACACTGGTATTAAATGGATCTTGAATCCATGAAAATTTATCGATATTATCATTTTGAAAATATTTCTCAAATCAGGTGATAAGGTGTGATAAATGTTCTTCAAAAATAGATTTCATATCTCGGGAGAAATCAACTCCATTGGAGCCCAAAAACTGTTGCAACAATCTTTTCCTCCATCTTCATTTATTTTTCTTTTCCATATTTTAATTTTTTTTATAAAAGCTGAAATTTTCTAAATCGACTTTAAAAGGTACATGTTGCTTCTCTGCAGGCAGAGATTCAGAGCATTCAGCTTTTCAAAAATATCACATAAGTATGGTAGTTTTATCAAAAAATCTTCATTCACAAAATTTTCGTCATACTTGTGATCTTCCTCTTTAAAAAAATATAAATTTCCTGTTGCAGTTCAAATGTACTTGACAAAACATTACCTCGAGAGAGCAATGGCTCTCTCATGGTAATGTTTTGTACTTTCTCAAAGTGCTGTAGTACAACAAAGACGTGTGCTCGGATCCCATATCCTCAAATAGTTTTTTGAAAAATCTTGCCTTCAAAGACCAAGTTTTTATAATGTTTACTACATTTACTACATATTCTAAGGCCTGGTTCAATATAGAACTCAGATATTTTAATGTGAGTTCTTCTCTGTTAATAATGCAATGGGTCCATAATGCATCACGGTCTTTGCTTCGAAAAAGTGCTTGCAATTCTCCATAACACCTGGACATAGAATGAGCACCATCAGTACAGATGGTGCTCATTCTATGTCCATAATTTGGAGTAAACCAATGCATTTGGTCCACTCCAAATTATTTTCAGATATAAAAATATCAAGGATTTCAAGTAAGTCTTGAGCCTTAGCACCAGCAGTGACACTTTTACAAAAGAGAAAGTCCTCCACAATGTTATTACTATCTATAAACTGTACATAGTAAATCAAGAGAGCAGCATTATTATTATCTGTGTCCTCACCTAGCTGCAACGCAAATTCCTTCTCTTATATTTTTTCAATTAATTAATTCAATTTAACCTCTTGAACATCAGAGGTCCTGTGCTATGTGCTGTATTCTGCAACTGACGGTGTTGTTGGACAAAGGCACTTTTGAAAGGTGCTTTCCAGCAGACTCACCAAGCATAATGTTCACCATATCTACAGCAGCTAATGGAATGAGTTTTTCTGTGATGGTATGAGACTTTTTACATTTTGCGATTCTATGTGACACNATCAGTACACTTTAAAGCCAGCTTGCAATAGCAATCAAATTATGCACTTGGAATTGTAGTATAAAAGTAAAATTTATTAAAATATCTCAGAACATGGATACATCACTGAAGAACAGTTTAATCACAAATGTACAGTACATATCAGTAAATTTAAAACAATCATTAAACAAAACACTATACCTTTCAGCACAACTATCCTTTTGACTAAAGTTTTTGGCTTCTTTTATAGGTCTTCCTCGATATGTTGAGGAAGCCACCTTTTGACTATTCTAATTTGGAATGGCTGCAGGTGTGGTTCCAAATTACAACAGTTAAAAGACAAATTCCTACCAGACCTGAGAAATACTTACAAAAAAACTAGAAACATTAGTCAAAAGGATAATTAACTGTGCTGGAAAAGTTATGAAAGGTATAGTGTTTTCTTTAATGAACTCAGTTCCAGCTGAGATACATTTAAGATATAAAGCATTAAAGTTTCATTAAATGCCAAGCTTTATTTATCATTTTCTGATTTGTAACATTCATGACAAAACTATTCTTTAATGATGTACCCTTGTGCCGCAATGTTATAATAAACTTTTTATTATTTCACTATCAATAAAATACAACAAAGCTGGAACAAACAAATCAATACCTTTCACACTTTTCCAGCAAACATTTCAATACAAACAAACAAACATTTTTGATTTATTTCGTAAATCTGCTTCAGGTTTAGCATTCAAAATACATTTTTAAATTCCATAATATACTGTATGCCAGCTTTAAAATGCATTGATCTTTTTGTAACAGTGTATGATTAAAGTACAGAAATATGCAATATGGAAAAAGAAAGCTACTTTTTTCATATTGCAAATGAAAAAGTGAGATGAATCATTTTCTTTATAATACTTTAAAATAATTTTTAAAATACTATAAAGAGTAAATTTAAAAATTTACCATGTATCATATCGTATTTAATATATTTTTTACTAAAAGCAATTAAATATTAATATTTATAACATTATTTTGAATATTTTATTATATTTTGTTTAGAAATTGAATTTCAGACAGGAAGCTTATCAGAAAACTACACTTAATCAGCCTTAATGTTTCCAGTACAGAACTTTTTAACAAGCAAATTAAAAATAAAAAAAAAACAACTTATATACAGTTATGTAAATTAAATTTATAGAAACTTTAATAAATAAAACAAACAAAAAAAAACAAAAGCATGTTAAAAGATGCCCACAAGAACATTATCCAATCTATCTTTTATTCAGGAATGAATTGTAAAAAGAAAATGACATCAGTCCAGAACAGATAAATCCAGAGAATAAAAAACAATTCTAACTTATAAATATATCACTCATTAGCTGAGTTATAGAATAGAAATTTTTGGCAAAGTTAGAGAAGACTAAACTCATCATCATCAATTCTATTCTAAGAAAGATAACAGTTATTTTAGAATATTGAACAGCTAATTAACTATACTAAACACCCCATAGCCTGATATATAGATCCTAAACCAAACAATCATCTTAACAATTGGGCTATAAATCCACTATTATTAACGATTAGATACTAAGTAATTCGGTACTAGAGGTAGATGTTATGCACCATCTATTATCAAAATTAATAATTATAATTTTAATAATTTATTAAATAATTTAGTACCATCTATAACAGATTTTCTTGTACATTCTTTTTCTTTTTTTTTAAATTTTATTGGTTTGAAGTTTAAAAAATAATATTCAAGAATGAATGTTCTATATATGTTAAAATGTTTAAAGATCACTGTTCTAGAATATAGCTTTTTACTTCATATTCTGTTCATATTTACAATTTTAATTGTAAATATAAACACCATAATTGTAAATATAAACACCAATAACCACATGATCATAATTAAAGTACTCCTATTCAATGCTGTCCAGAGAGAAATTTAGCTGAATCTGGTGTGGTGAGATTTCAGGACATGCAGAAGACATTTCTGTAAAAAAGTTATTTGGTGTGCAAGTAACAAAAATGGTTTCCTTTTGCATAAGCACATATGCTGCAGCCAAATTTGAAAATAAAAATGGCTACAACTGTTGAATGTCATTATCATCAGCTATAATGGTCATCAATTTTCTGGAACATGCATTTCGCATAAAGCTGTTTTATGAAAAAAATGGCAATGATATTGTAGCTGCACTTTCCATTAGAAGTTTGTATTTTAAAAATTTACATCAAGGACCATTAATGTACTGATTGTATTTTGTCCACAGAGTTGGCACGGTAGCACTTCTATGTGGTAAAACTGTTAATTAACAACTATACTTCTTGTTGCATTAGTACACTTATTTTAGAGCATAAAAGATCATTCCATAGTTTTTAGAGAGCTACCTGTAAGTCCACAATTTACATGCAGCTTATGATAAACATCATTTCTGCATTTGGACTGCTAAATCTCTCTCCAAACAGCACTGAACAAGAGTTCTTAAATTACAGTCATCTTGTATACACAAGTAATCATTTGTTTATAAATTAAGTATTTATTATGTGAACAAATTTTAATTTATACAAAACTGAAATTATTAAAATTCCTAATATTAAATGAAAAAAACAGCAATACAGTGATATTTTTCAAACGTTATATGCATATACAGAAAAATGTTTCTAAAATTTTATATATACAAACATTCAAAACAGACCATATAAAGAAATTACTAATACTTTAATTCAGAGAATAAATTAGATATCAAAAATTTATCAGTTTTTTAAGAAATGTTTGATTCTTTCTATATAAATGAAAATATTTATGCTTTAAACACTTTAAATGAGATGTATCAAAAATAGCATTGATGTTAGAAATGAAAAAAAAATTTAATAATCAAAGTTCTTTCACTTAAAATGAACTTAAAATATATAAATACGAAAACAGAATATATTCTCATCAAAAACATATATATAAAATGTAATATGACAAGAATGAATAAAAATATGAATAGATAAAAAACTATGCTTTATTGGAGTGAATTTAAATGCTTAAAACTAAAACATTCTTGGACCTTGTGAGATTAACTGCTTCAAATAACTGCTTAAATTTTTACATTTTAATAAATTAAATTTATTCCAATAAAGTAAAATTTTCTTATTTGCTTGTACTTTCAAAAAGTTTATAAAAAATCTGAATAAGAAATCATCATTCTGAAATGTATATCATTTAATTTTAAAATCAGAAACTCATATCTATATTATTCACTTTTAAAATAAACTCATTTTTAATTATTAAGCCTCTTTCATCCATTAAATTGTTTTTCTTTAACGTAAAAACTTTTAAATATTAATTGTTTAAATATAAGTTTAAAAATAACAGATTTACATTAATAAAAATATATTTTATGTATCAATAGTATGAAACAATTTGATGGTAACTATCAGTTAATATTATATTTTAAAACAATTTTCTTTGCAGTAAAGAATTTTATTCTTTATAAATAAAGAGAATAATATGAATAATTCAAAACATGTAGTGAAAATGAATTTGTATTGAAACTGCTTTAAAATTCAATATCTGATATATAAATTGATTATAAATCTTAAAATAACTTCCTTTTCAATCTCTGCTTAATAAAATATTTACAATTCAATCAAGTAGAAAAGTGTAGAAAACTTATCTTTCACAAATTTTAATAATAAAAATAAAAAGTAAGAGTCAAACCTTATTTTGATTTGTTTTTAATTTCTCTTGTAATTCTAAAATTGCTTTCCAATGTTGAATTTGTTTTTCTTTCACATGCTTTTCTTGTAATCTGTATAAAAAGAGAAAAAGTCCATTAATTTGTCACAGTATCACTTACTATAATGTATAAAGTTTGTAAAATGTATTAAATTGAAAAATAAAATTATAAAAATTTTATTTTTCAATATTGAAAAGTTGTATTTTAAGGTTTATCCTATTAATATTTTATGTAGTTTCTAGTTCCTTAATTGAATTTTATATTTCTTTTTTCTGATATTATTGATAAAATTCAACATATTTATATTTGAAATTTATAAATATAAATAAATTTAATAACAATATAAAGTAAATAAATGTTTAAATAATTTATTTGGATATTTTCTTAAACAGAATATATTCCAAAGTTATTCAAAACCTATATAAATAAAGACTTGTAAAATAATAAAACTTTATCAAATTATTGCAAAATATATAATAAATATAACTAAAAAAAATCTATCATTATTTATCTTTTATTCCCTTAGTCAAAATTTATATTAACCAGATTAACTGGAATTTTAGTGCAGATCTACTTGGTTATATTACTTTCATTTCAGTTTTTATAAAGAAAACATTAATGAGACTAATAAAAAATTTAATTAAACAGAGCATAAGCGGAGCTTTGCATAAGTCAGAAAGTGTTTTGTCTGTGTCTGTGTCAGAAGTTTAAAGTAACTGCACGATCACTAAACAAGATTTTTTGCAAACATGTACAACTCAGCGAGACCAATGCCATGACAAAGCTGGAATTTTGAAATTTGATCTATAGACTAAGATATTAAGATGAAAGTTTGTAATGTATAGTGTATGGGCTGATAGCCAGTTGTAAGTGGTCGCATGCTACATGTCAATCAAATTTCCAATTGCTATCAATTGCACTGTTTTTAATATTTTACAAATTGAAGAACGTTTATTTTATAATTTTAATTTAATGTGGTACCTAGCATAAATGTAATGTAATAAAGTACAACACAAAAAATAGATGTTTATTTCATATGTTTTAAACTGTATCCTTTGATGTTTATCTTTTTTTTTATTTTTTTTTATTGCATAAGTTTTTTTTGTTGTGTTTAATATGTTTTAATTGGATTTCTTTTGTATTGATTTTACAAGATGTATGATTATCATAAGTCACAGCTACCTAATACAGAAGTACCAAACACCTGTGTTATTTGACCTAATTTGCAGTTAATACGACCAGTGGCAAGCCAAGCATCGAGTTGGAAGAAAATTCTAGACTAGAGCATTCTAGTAGATCAACCACTTATATATCATATGAATTTTCAGCCCCAAAGTGCAGTAGTATAATCAAAAGCAGCATTCTACTTACTTCAATTTGATACACGTGGCATAATGTATTCAAAATAAATATTTTGAAGATAAAAAAATTCATAGCATTTGTTAACAAAGTTAAGAATTTCTAAATTATGTATCTTATTGTTAGCTTTTAGTGTATAAAATTAAAGTTAAAAAATATAGCATAATACATAATTCATTTTTAAGAATGGTTTTCTGAAAAATTGAGGGAAGCGAGTTACCTAAAATTAACTTTTAATTAATTTAAAAAATTTTTTAAACTAAGCATCATACATACAGTCTTCCAGCATATAATACACATTGGAAATGATTAAAATCAGAATGTTTTCAGCCTCTTCAGGGACATGCATCATTGATTATTCTAAATTTAGAATCTCCACTAATGCTCTGTAACAATCGATACTTGATGCAGGCCTCTGGAAGTGGCTGAAATGTTATTTTTTTGAAAAATAATCACAATAAAAATAACTTCTTTCTTTGAAAAATTTAAAATAAATCTTATGTACACTATTCTGAACTTTATGCAATAACATTTACGCAATAACTTTGTTATAAAATTTATTTGTATGAATCAAACTGAACAGCAGATTCTTATCAGGGTACATTAAGACTAATTAATTAGCCTTAATGAAGTCATATAAGAATCTAGCTGTTTGTTTGATTAGTAAAGTTTATGGGATTCTTTGTTTATGTTATTATTTGTATGAATATTGAAAATCATTAATATAAATTATATCCTACTAATTTATGCATTATAATTGATTTATGCTATAAAACCGATTTCATTTTTTAATATATTCTAAGTACATTAACTTACTTTATGACCCATTCTAGAGCTTGACCCAAAGACACAGGTTTTCCTTGTACATAATTGAAATCCAATTGGTGAGAAAGATAAGAGGTTGCTTCCAATAATCTATTAAATTCACGTTCCACCATTTCATCCTTATCTTTTGGAACCTAAAATTTTATTTATTTAATTTGAAACAAGCAATGAGAATTAAATATAATTTTCAACAGTAACAACATTATTCTCATTACATATTCACTTAATATATCTATTATTGATATTTAAGCATAATGCATTAGTTCAACTTTCTTTCATTTAAATGAATAAGTCCAAAAGAAATTATTATTTCGACTACTGCCAAACAATTATTAATAGGAATCAATAAGGTATTTTTATGTAAGAGGGCTGTTGTAAGTGTTTATTGATATACAGAATGATAGCAAAAGATTCTCCCTGACCAATTTCAGAAACCAATAGGGCAATCATTGTAGACCTTTTTGCCACTGCATACAAATGTGCTAAATTAGGATGTGAATTTCTGTTTCCTTCAGCACATCTATCAGAGAGAGCTGTTGTAATCTCAGCCTCTAATAAAAATAGGATAACATTGTCAATTACAAAGTTGTAGCGTATGAAAAAATATGTATTATTAACTTTTAGTGCATCCTGAAATATCAAATGGAATCTCAGAACAGGCTGTCAAATGTGAAAGCAAATGCTTCATTATACTGCAAGAGGTAACAGTGCATCACTGTATAAACATGAATGCAATGTGGAAGCAGATGAATGTGCAGTTAGGTTTAGATTAGCAGTAATATCTATATGTAAATGATCCGAATTAATAAAAAAAAATATCAAAAACAACTAAAAACTACATTTTCCCACACAGTGTATGTAATCTTTATTACTACAATTCATATAATAGTTAGACTTAAGTAAGACCTAAAATGTACTTGACCTCAACGTGTTATTTTGTATTGTAAGATTTCATGCAAATCATAACTGCAAGCTTGCACCAAAGCAAGTATATATAAAATCAACTGCCAGTTATGTTCATGTTCTGTACTTTCTTCTATGGCACTACTGTGAACTAGTGTAATGGTTCATTTTACAAATGAAGAATATGGTAACATAGTATTTATGTGTAGAAAATGTCATTGCAGTGCTCATACAGCTACAAAGTTGTGTGCACAACAGTTCCCAAATAAATTAGATAGAGTTAGATAACCTAATAAATATGATTTAACACTTTGGAGGGCTTATCACACCAAGGCTAACAGAAAGAAGGACCAGAACCATTACAAAAAAGTTAGTCTTTAATAATCACATTTCAAATTTAGGTAAGGATGCATTTTGGGTACAAGGACCCCTCATCAGCTTACAAACACATGGCAACAACATAACAATTATAACACCACTAGTTAACAAATACAAAGGAGTATCTAACATATACAGTGCACTGTATTCACAATTTTTAATGTAACCCATATAGTAAAAAAACTAAAACTATCAAGCATAATATTTTAATACAATGACAATGTGATATAGCATATTATTTGGGACCAGTAAATGTCTTATTTTCTCCAACATTTTCCAAATTCTAGTAGGCGGTTCTACTATTAATAATAAATATTGTTACATATATTAAAAGCCAAAAGGGGAAAACAAACAATGAACTTACTATTATTAAAATGATTGGTTTCCAGGCATTAAACAAAAACAGATACATTTGATCTATAAGGCTGTGTGAAGACAACTGCCTTGTTACAATTCATTTTATAATTCATTTTACAATGAGATGTGACTATATTCCCACATCTGTTCGGCATCTGTTTCAAGGTTTTGTGAAAATGATGTCAATCCACCCCTCATGTAGCTTCAGTCCCACGTTGTTATTAATTCTAATGTCTTCCTGTATTTTCAGAATTTCTAGGTGTTCCTATAGTCTTCTTTTAAACTGATTATTTTCTTGATACTCTTGATACTATCTTTTAAGATTTCACAATCTTCGGTATTGCAACGTTGTGCCACTGATGATGGTATCAAATTGTTTTTAACAGCATATATATATGTTCTTTAAATTAATTAATCCTTGTCTTTAATTTTCTTCCAATTTCACCAATGTATCTTTTTTTATATGAACAACTGCACTCTAATGAATAAATTACATTATCTTTTTCTAAAACATTATGTTCATTATATTCATATTTAATCACTTTTGCTATGGTTCTTGTATGGTTTGGTACTAAAATAATATCTAATTTTTTAAATTCATTTTTTAATTTTTCAAAAACACCAAAAACATATTCTATTTTTAGATACATAGAACAACTTTCGGTTGTCTATTTAATGCAACATTTTTTCTTTTCCTTTTACTTGATTCTAACCACTTAAACAATAATGTTCTAGGGTAATTATTTAAGCTAAGCATTCTTAGAAAAATATAATGTAAAGTTATAAAGTTATAAGTATAAAGTTAAAATATACATAATGGAGTAGATGATTACACCAAGCTGTATAAAATTATCCACACAAAATATGGACTCTGAATCCTTGGCATTGATACATACACCCTTCCTAGACAATTTATATACATCTAGTCTCTCTAATGTTTTCAAGTCTGCTAAACAAGAAGTCCATTGTATAAATTGTACCGCTTGTAATTTGACATGTGTTCAATTCTAACACATTTAGCCAATGTAGTTCCAGAATGACCTTTTAGAGAAAGATAATGTACACCATTGTCTGTTGGCATTACATAAAAATATTTATTACGCAAGTACTTTTGACAGTATATAACTGTCCTCTTCAGGCAGAATCATTCATAAAACGATTCTGCCTGAAGAGGACAGTTATATACTGTCAAAAGTACTTGCATAATAAATAAAATAATTGACACCTCAGTGTTGCGGCATAAAAATATTTTTTTTATGCCACAACACTGGTGTACATTATCTTTCTCTTATAGTATAAATTGGCATGTACAGCTATTTAAATTTTACAGCATGACCTTCTATGATTGAGTACTTTGTTCTCTCACCTTCTCCAATAGTGACCATGATGTAGAGCCAATGTATTCAAGGTAACAGGCATAGCTACCATGGAACAGTTGGAGAAAACTGCTCCAGGCACATGAATCATGAGGGCACCAAGTTAGAAAGGACAAAATAAAAACTTATAAAAACATTTGTAAAAAAATTTTTTCAATTTGCCAGATTTTCTNGAGAATAGATTTAAAGAACTGACTCTTTTTCATGGAACTGAACATGAATGTTAATATTTTGCATGTATTTATGCAATATACTCTCAGTCACAGATGTAGCTACCATGGAGCAGTTGGAGCAAACTGCTCCAGGTGCACGAATCTTGAGGGTGCTAAGTTAGAACGGGCAAAATAAAAACTTGTAAGAACATTTGTAAAGAAAATTTTTTTGATTTGCCAGATTTTCTATAAAATATACACAAAATGATATTTTTTAGACAAATAAAACTAATTATAAGCACCTAAATATTTTAGTATGCACTTGACTTATCATAATTTTGGCTTAAAACAATATACATTATAAATTTAACTATTAATTTTGTCATTCGATTTAGGAGGGGCTGCAACCCCCCCTTGCTTACACCCATTTCCCACATTTTGTAGGAAATTCCCATGAGCGCATGTTAACATTGGTGCAGAATAAAGGCACATATTTGGAGGTTTCTTTAAGTAAGCTTTAAATAATGAGTTTAGATTTTCATAATTCCTTTGTTTAGTTTGTATAGTGTAAGAATTTCTAGTTTGATTCTTGAATGTGTGTGTTACGCAATTTTGAAATCTTTTTGAGTATACAGTGGATTGTACTTTATTATTCTGTTTTAGTGACTTCATATTGTTTTTAGTATTATTTTAATTGTTTGTTTTATTTAAGTGACTTTGTACAATTTTTATGACTATTATTTTACTAAGTTACTTGTGTACACTGTGTTTTTGGATTCACTGATGTATAATTCTAAAAGTAAGTGATTTGATTATAAATTATTATATTTATTAGGTTGCAACATAAAGAGTAATATTTAATTTAATCTAATTTTACAACAAAAGATAATTTACAAAATGGTTTTAAATTTTTTTAAAGTAATAAATAAAAATAAACAGAATATATATTTTTATCACAGGTAATTAAAAATGTCAAAAAAACTTAGTGGTGATCAGTTTAGAAAAAAAAAGAATAGAAAAGCATGAAATAGGAAAGGACATTTTAAAGAAAGTTGCTAAAATATCAACATTTTTTAAAACAGTCGATTCAAATAATCCACTCGGTTGTAGTTCTTATAAAAACAAATCACAAACTCAAGACAATAATTCTAAAAACAAAACAGATGCAGATATTACGAATATTTCTACACCTAAACCAATTCAAACAAAAACTGAAGTTCTTCCATGATGCACTGATATAGAAATAGACTCATGACAAAAAATTTCACAGAAGCTCTAACTACTGAACAAAAGCGTAAAGTTATTAGACTTAGTCCCTATCAACCAAAGGGGCCTTTCTCAAAAGATTCAGCTGGCCGCAATAAAAACAGAGGCTTCAATGAGAAGTATTACTATAAATATAATGGACATATGAAAATTAAAAAACAATGGTTATGTTATTCAACAAAAAAAATATTTGTTACTGTCAACCGTATTGGCTTTATGATATGTCAAACTGTGATTTAGCTTTTGTAAGAGGAACATCTGACTGGGCATATTTAACAAGAAATGTTGTAAAACACAAAGAATCGAACCAACATAGAATTTCTTCTGAAGTTTACTATCAATGGAAAAGTGGTTCAACAGTAGATATTGTTAGTCAGCAAGAAATTAACAATGCAGTAAATTATTGGTGCAAAGTGTTGCGACATATATTAGATGTAACTATAACACCTTGTAATAACAAATAATTTACCTTTCTGAGCCCATAGGATTACACATATTCAAGATGTAGGAATTTCGCAAGGAAACTTTCTAGAAATAATTAAATTACTTTCTAGCTATGATGATGATTTAGCAAATCTATTAAAAGAACCTAAAGACAGTACCAATTACTTGAGTCTGAATATACAAAATGAATTAATTAATTTGATTGCACATGAAATTAATGTCCAAATTAAAAGTGAAATAGAAGAGGCCGCTTTCATAACAATAATAACAGATACAATGCAAGATCTATCAAAAATTGATCAGATAAGTACCATATTCCATTGTGTTTTAATAAAAAAATACGAAAATAAACCAATTGAATTTCAAATAAAGGAAACGTTTTGTGGATTTATTCAGGTTACTGATCAAACATCACAAGGATTAGAAACAACAGTTTTAAAACTCATTGAAAATTTCACTGATGTATCAAAATTGCATGGTCAAGGTTATGACAGAACTGCGAATATGAGTGGTGCCTACTCAGAATTACAAGCAAGAATTAAACAAAAAACCCAGCTGCCAGATTTGTTCACTACTGTTCTTGTAATTTGAATTTAGTGATTGACAATGTCACCAATGTACAGGAAGTCTGGCAATTTTATGAACAGTTATAAAAAATTTTCATTTTTTTCAGTTCTGTTAGGCATTGGGCAATGTTAATGGAAACAAATCAAACCAACTTAGCAAAAACATTGAAAAGAGTTTGTCCAAAACGATGGTTTTCCCATATTAAAGCTCTTGACACACTACGTTCTCGTTATTTTGATGTAATTAAAACATTGACATAGTTATCATTAAATGGAAAAAATTATAATAAGCAATGTGAAGCTAAAAACATGATTAATTATTTTGAACAATTTTCAATAATTATTTTAATTAGAGTATAAATTAGAGTGATTAATACACTCAAAAATGCTGCTAGGTGCTCATAAAGATATAGAGAAATCCGTTGAGATGCTTTCATCACACCTAACCTAATTCCAGAACTTAAGGAATAATTGGGAGTTTGTTAAAAATAATGTACTTGATTTATCAGCTATATGGAATATTGAACCTCCTTTTCCCAAATAATGATTGCATTATGTGAAAAAATTCTTTGATGAATTATAAAGTGCATTGAAAATAGTGAACAATATTTCAAAGTTGAGATACTTTATAAAGTAATGGATTTAATAATTAATCAATTAACTATTAGATTTGAATCAGTTTGATATTTATGTATACATCTTAAGTGCTTACACCTGCATATCTTGTCACGTCATCTGATAAAAATATTCTGGAAGGATCAGAATTGTTGCAATCAGCATATCTCTCCAACATTTTGCCTAGTTTTGTACCTCAACTGCTTCAATTTAAAATGTATTTTTATACTCAGTTAAAAGAAATTACTTCAATATGTGAAATTGCCATACTACTTCTAATTCACACCACAACCTCAAGTAGCTTCTCCAACATTACTGCAGCATATCTCATTTTTTTACTTTACTGGTGACGACAGCAATAGCAGAACAAAGTTTCTCAAAACTAAAAGTAATCAAAACTTGTTTAAGAAGTAACATGTAGCAACACCGTCTTAGCTTTTTGGCTACTATATCAATTGAAAAAACAATAGATTGTCAACTTGATCTGGAGAAAGTGATTGACTGATTTGCAAACAAAAAAGTGAGAAAACAATTTTGAATTTTTTTTAATGTATTATTATGTATTTGTTATGAAACTAAACTTGCATAGATTTTGTCAACACAGTTTATATATTATGTAGTAAATATTATTAGGTACTCCATACTTAAATAATTATATTTTGTTTTATTATTATATTTGTATTTATTAAATTGAATATCTTATTGTTGAAATATCATAAATCTCAGTAAGATTTAAAATTGAAATAATTAGATATATGTTTTCAAACTAAGTGTTCAAAACAAATTTTGCGAGACCCCTTCCAAGGAAATAGGGGAGCACCAATTCTATTTGCTCCAAGGCATTGAATATGTAGCTACACCACTATTTAAGGTCATATAAAATATTGTTTGTTCTGATTATTCTATTTACTTTTTTACTCATATTTTTGCTAATGCCTGAAGAATACCAGTGTAAAATGGCTGAAAACATTTGCAATGTATGGTATTAGGGTACGACTATGCAGACACAAGCGAGCAAATTTTCCAAGCTCTGTTTCTCGCTCTTGTCTATGTGATCATGATAAACGAGAGCAAGAAACAGAGCATAAAATGTCATCACCTCTTCTTGGCACATATTCTCACTTGCGTCTGCATAGTTGCATCCTTAAACTTAACTTTTGCTGGAACTGAAGAAGTGGTTGTTCTCTAAACTTCCTGTTCCAGCTACAATTTTTTAATATTTTTTCATATACTATAACTTTGTAATTGACAATGTTGCCCTACTTTCATTAGGGGATGACATTACAATAGCTTTCTCCAATAGAATGGATAGAGGGGACAAAAATTTGCATAATATTTAGTACAACATAGTATACATCAGCAAAAGGTGCACAGTGATCAACCTATTAGTTTTCAAAATAATTGACCAAGGAGAAACTTTTGTTGTCATTCTGCATAGAAAAGTATGCAAGAAATTCAATAACTACTTGTTTTCAAAAGTACAAGTCAATGTAGCAAACTTCAAGGAGTAATCTCTCTTCATAACTCAATTCTAAGTGATTAAGCCAAACAATCTTGCCAAAATTATTAGGCTATGTTAATTATTAAATAAATTCAACTAGAGGTAGGTAGCTAAGCTGCCAATCTTGTATTAATTTTAATAATTATAATAAATTAATTTCATTTAGAAATTTCTGGAAGAAAAGAATCAATTCAAAGTGGGATCAGATGGAGCTTTGGGTAGCATAACTGGCAATGTGTCCAAACGGTATGCAGTTGTAGGTTCAAGTCCTGCTCCAGGCCAATTCTTTTCTTTCAGAAATTTCTAAATTAAATTATTATAATTATTAAAATTAATATGAGACACAGTTTAATCACCTACCTCTAACCGAATTAATTAATAATCAATTATTAATGTAGTCTGATAATTTCGGCAAGATCATTTGGCTATTTTATAAATGAACAGAATCGAAATAACAAACATACATAAAATAAATAAAAAATCTATAATAATGATGTTAATTTGTAAAGTTTGTAATAAAAAATAATTGTTTAATTAACAATCAAAAAGAAAGGAATATCAAAGAAAATTAATACTTTTGTGATTAAATACAAGAAATTTCTAAATTAGAGTCCATATTCGATCAAAATTTACAATTTGAAAGAATTTTATATTCTCAAAATAATCCAGTGTTTGTCAATAATCAGGTATATTTAACTCTTTTTCAACATATAGTATTGTACAGAATGCAAATTGCAAAAATCTGAAAAGTACAATACATTCAGAGTTATAAAAACAATTAGATCTCCATATTTGCAAGTGTTAAATAAAGAGATTTGTGTTTTGAAATGGTGGTTGCAAAATTTATTATACTAAAAATTTGGCTATTGCTTATTGCATTCACTGACGTAATAACAAGACAAACTCATCTTCAGTCTTGCACTGAGTGCTATTGATTAGAATGACTTGTGATTTGTGTGTTGTACATCTGGTAAACACATTGGTGTATATCTTCTGTTAACTTTGTAATGAAACTTTCATATAGTATTTTTTGATCAGTATGGGTCTAAAATGTTATTCATATAAGGTTTTAATTGTGTTTATTGTAAAACACATTTAAATATTTTTCTGTTAATTGTAAATGGAATTGTTTACATACATAGGGAACATCAGGAGCTATTTGGATACGAGTACATTTTTTTCCGTGAATTTCGCATTTTTGCTTGTGTCGACACGACTCCTACAAATATGAAAATTCAGTTTTACTTCAAAATTTTAATTATAGTAGAATAAAACATGCAATTTTACTTTAGCAAACACAAAAAAAAACAAGTATCATTAACAAGAATCAAATTAAAACCAAAAGCTTTAATTTAAATAAGAAAGAGAGAAGATCAGTATAATATTACAATTAGGGTTTCTCAAACGGGATTCCGGGATCCCGGTTGTTTTTTTAACCCAGGAAATATCCCGGGAAATTTTTCTTATCCCGGGAAATCCCGCAAATTTCTTAAAAATTCACTTTTTTTCTTATTTTGTGTTAAGGTTGAGGAATTTTGCAAATAGAAAGCATAATTAACTCATTCACTGCCAGAATACATTTGTATTTATTAATTTTAAACCTACCTATTATTTTTTTTAAATTTTTGCTCGTTATAGCATGTCACAAATGGTCAATAATCAATATATAGCTTATTTGTGGCAGGACTATAAAAATTCTTTACTTGTCGGAACCTGTAATATCTGGAATAATTGTGCTTACGCTGTCTTGAGTTTTAACCATGCCCAGTAGCTTCAATAAATGCCTGACGCCAGATTGTGCAAATTGGGCAAGGATACAAACGAGTACAAAGTCTGCAAGTATGAAGTTTTTCTTCATAAACCTGATTATTAAAGCCAAATGAATTGCCGAATTATCGAGCTCTAAGCTTGATGCCGCTATTAAAGCAGCCAAGGTAGACAAATCAAGAATACTAGAGAGCGAAAGAAGTACTACAATCTCGAAAACGAACTCGAAATCTTCCAGGCTACAGGTGAAAAAACACATAATATCTGTCTTCTCTTAAATGCATTAAACACTATTCCAATCACATCAATTGAATCGGAAAGGGCATTCTCGGTGGCAAGACTTTTCATTACTAAAATAAGAATTAGAGTGAGTTATCGGAGTATTGACCATCTTTGCTTTTTAAAATCTTATAAAAGTTTGCAATATTTTGTATTATATTTTATTTAAAAAACGAAAATTACCTTCTAAATTAGAAGTTCATTTTTTTAATTTTTAACTCAATTCAAAAATTTTTTTTTGTTGTTGTTGTATGCAGTTTCCAGCAAACTTTAATTAATTTTTTTCTATTTGTGAAAATTTCTACGTTATTTAAAGGTAATTTTTATTATAGGCCTATAGACCTTACACAGCATTATTAATATGATTTTGGAGGTTACAGAACTTTAAAATTACTTTAAAAAATGGAAAATAATTATATCATTTGATTTCAAGATATTTTGTATACCTTAAAAATAATTAATTCTATCCCGGGATTTCCCGGGATCCCGGGAAACAGTTCACTTTTATCCCGGGATCCCGGGACAAGCAAAAGACCGGGAAATGAGAAACCCTAATTACAATAATAAACTACAGAATATTTTATCAGATCCAGAAATTATTAAATTGTATCTTTAATTGAATGAAATTAAAATGTTTTTTACAAAAGTTATAAATAATAAAGATATTTAATATGCAGAGAATTTTTTAGATAAGTTGATTGGTTCTCTAATGCACATAATACTGTTTAGTAAATGATGTTCAATAAGAAATAGCAATTAATACTGTTAATGTTATAAGTGAAAGGAGAATTTTGTTTGTGCATTTGTTTGTGGCTGTATTATATCTGTGTGAGGCCTTTACACTGTAGTTATGCTTGTGTTTAGATTTATGGTGTTGTCAAATTTCATCTGCTTTTCTCCAGACTTATTTTGAGAAATTTTCTTTCATTTATGTACTTTCCTACAAGCCCATTTCATCTTATTTTATACAAAAATTTGCAAAAGCCAAAAAATCTCTTTCAAATGACCATAAAAATACATTTGAACAAACAAATCTGTGAGGACACTTTCTATAGATCAATCTGCCACTGAAAACATCACAACACATTTACTAAAGCCAACCACTGGCATACGTCATCGGGCTATATAATGGCTATAATACATTAGTATTATAGCCATTATATAGCCAACCACTGATGACATACATCAGTGGTTGGCTTTAGTAACATAATGTATCAGGTTTTTGTACAGTTGTTTGTTTACAACACATTTGAAGCCATGTTCAGTTAACTTTCATTTCAGAAATAGTAAATAAATTGACAATATTTCAATTCAATACATGCAGGTAATTAAGGATCTGGGTGTCATGTTCAAAAAGAAATTGGCTTTTAATAATCACATTAAAAAGATAATTAAAGCTTTAGCTGATAGATCCACATCTTTAGCTTTAATTACCTTTTCAGTGTCTTTACAGGATACTGTTGTAGTGTTTCATCAGGGACTATATTATGAGATTTCCTTTTTTCAACCAATTTCTAGTCTATTGTTAATTACTAACTTTCAGTATGGTTTTTGGCCTCACATTTTTCTTTAAATACAGTTTATTACCATTTATGCACATATAGCACAGATATATTTAATTTTATCCAAATTACACAATCATATTTATTTTGACAGAATCTTGTGCCAGTGAATCTTTTCTAAAAGTTTGATGATTTATTTCTCCTTATAATATTAATTATCAAGTATACATAAAAATTTGGAACAACAATTCATGTTTATTTATTCCCAATACTAGTTCAAATGTCGTAACTTATGTAGAGCTTTTTGGTATGCCATATTAGATGTGAGAGGCATTAAGGATAAGCTGAACACTTTGTTTAAACTCTTTTGTAAAAGACAAATGTAATATAAATTTATTCTGTTTTTCCTTTTTTAAACAATTGTGTATTATCATTTGATTTTATATCTAAGGAGGTAGTATCTCCAGCATTTTTTAAACAAAGACTTTACTAAAAAATTGAAATACAAATAAGTAAATAATAAAACAATTTAATTATTAAGGACAAATAATCTAAATAATGATATGCAACTGGCTAAAATCAGTTATGATGCTGTTACCATTTGATTAGTGTTCCGTCACCTAAACAGTGATTTAAAAAATTGCTTCTGATATATAACCCAATAACTTGTAAATATTTTAAAAGTATTTAAAAATCTTATTATTATTATTTTCCATCTGCATTCAATATTACTTTGAAATATAATTATTGTCTCTTGAAATATATCATTTTCTGTTACAGATTGTTCTATTCATTTCTGTAAAATAGTGAAATTTTTTAACCTTTGCAAACATTTCTGTAAAATACAATGGAACAAGTTTATACAAAGATAATAAAAGAAATTTTTTTATGTAAGAAAGGACCAAAAGAATAACAACAAAATTCATTTATACTACAATGGAACCAAGCAACAAAAGTGTATGTAGTTTTTGAACCAAGCAACAAAAGTGTATGTAGTTTTTGAACCTGTTTGATGTTTCTGTAAGATAACCCAAGCATTGCCACATACATCATAAACAATCCTTTGTATATAAACATTGATAAAATATTTATAACAAATGAATTTTTTTGTTTAATTTAATGTTTTAGTAGAAAATTTTATTATTTCATTCAATTTCACTGTAGAAAATTTATTCAATTATAAATTAATTATTTACTTATTTAAATAATTCATATATTATATTAACTTATATTAAGTAAATAATATTTAGTAATAATAAACNAATAATATTTAGTAATAATAAACTAAATTTTAAAATTGATTATATTTATTTTTAATTTAAATAAATATTCTAATATAAATTGAAAATTCATTTTGTAAATAATGAATAGAAAAAATAAATACTAATAACAACCATAACTAAATTATATTATTAATAATTCAATAAGAATTAATAAGCTATATTTTAATAATAAATTCAAAATAACTTTGAAATAAAGCTGAACCATTTTATATAGAAGTAAACGTAAAAACACTCACTTTTGTATATGATATAAATGAGGAATTCTGTACAACATTTTAAATAAAATTAATATTTTATATACATTTTTTAATTTTAATTACAAAAAGGTACTTACAGTATTGCCGTTAGATTCATAAAGTGGACATTTCTGACGAATTTTATGAAGTTCCATGTTAATTTGCTTACTTAGCACAGTTATAGGATTGCCACCTTGAGTTAAATTGGAAAAATATTATTATTATTATTATTTTTAAATTAGTTAACAAGCAAAGTAATTACAGTATTATAAAGATAACTTAATAAGAAAATATGCTTTATTTTAGTAAACAGTTAAAACACAATTGCTTTCAAGTTCTTACTGGCTCTTCTTCAAAAAGATTAAATTATTTTTAAAAGAATTCAATGATATACGTTTAAAAAAAATTATATGAGCCTGCAACACTTGAAAATTCTTAAGTTTTTACTGTTTAACAAGTTTATGCAAATAAATATATATTCTCAAGAAAATGACTTTTAGTGGAGTGTTTAAATGTTACCAGTGAAAGGATGGCAAACCAGTGACTTGTATCACAATTTCCAGGTAACTTCATCAAATGTTTAAAAAGTAGATTTTTATAAATTATAAAAAAAATATTGATGGATTTCAAAACTTTGTACATATAGAGTGAAAAAAGAACTCTAAAGCTATCACAAAAAGTTTTATAGGTCACTAATTATAAACCTCATATAGAAAAATTATCATAAAATAAACAGCTGCAGATTTCCCATTAAACAAAACTTCTTTCAGGTATATTCAGTTTATATAAGATTTATTGTTACTTTATTGATGCAAGTTAAAAAGTTAAATAAAGTAAAATTTGTAAGCATTTTTTTTTTTTTTTAATTACTCACATTAAATATTTGATGTGCAATTTGAAGTTACTATATATTGAAGTTTACTATATATCTTCATAAATTTTCATTATTATACTAGAAATTTCTCCATCAAGCATGACAGAAAACTTTCTATCAGAAAGTAGAACATTAATTAATAATAGAATGCCATATGGTCACTATAGAATGTTTTTAATATATAAAATTTACTCAACCAATGTTACTCTTACACTTTCTCTTAGGCATTTTCTTTGTCAAAATAGAGTGTCTTTTTAATTTTGTTAAAACAAAACCAAATCGTATATACTGTACATTGCAACAAAAATTGCAGGAGTTATAAGGAATTCATACACTGACGACTACTTTCAGCTCTAATTTCGTTAATTTTTATGTTATTTGATATTATTTAAATGAATGAGCATGTTTTCAGAAGTGTGTATCTATAAATTTTCCACCAAACTTGATACTTCGGCTGAAGACATGGAATGAAGAAACAGCAACCACTCCTGTTTTCTCCCTCTGGCTAGGTCATAAAACAGCAGGGTGTCAACTATTCTCTGTAAGGGAAGAACTAATACATGTGCAGTCACCAATACAAAACCGATAAAACGTTTTTTCTATAGCTAATATTTCTGCAAAATAAGTAGCCTATAATTTCCATCAGAACATAAATTGAATATAACCAAACCTTCACCTGAATTGGACAAAAATTGCAGAAGTTATAAGAAATTCAAATACACAGATGAAAGCTTTTATATTAGTAATAATTTTTACAAACTCTAACTTCAGAACCATTAAAAGCTTTATGTTTGATAGGGAAAAGCCTACAACGAAAAGTCAACTCTGATAATGTTTTAAATTTCTGTGTATATGCTGTCTACTAGGACCTTGTTTATGAATAGGACTTATTATACTGGTCCTATTAATAAACATGGTCCTAGTAGACAGCATATACACAGAAATTTAAAAGAGTAAGGATACAGAGGTAAAAGGAATCTGCTAATGTTTAATTATGTTCACGAGATATGAAGCATACCTGAAGAGATTCTTAAATTATTTTTTTTGTATTTGTGTCTAAATTATGTATATTTTTAAGAATATTTTCATTCTGGATTCATATTTTTATAAATAATTTTTACTTAAATTTATTTGTATTTTTATAAATAACTTTTTCTTGTAAAGCCAAATAACCACCGGCTTTACAAATTTATTGACTTTTGTGAGTTTTGTTCATGTATATAACTTATTCTTGTTTAATTAATTAATCAATCAACACAATTTAAAAAATGTTAAATAATAATAATAAAATATTTTAAATTAAATTACTTCTATAATTCCTTATGAGGATATTTAGATTGATTGATGAAATTGTAAGCATAATTTAAGTTAATCAAAAACTTATTTTTATTTATAACTGAAAAGCATACTTATTCAATAAGATCAACTATTAAAAAGTTAGAAGTAAAATACTATATAAAATAATTATATCTTGTAAATACTGGAAGATTTACACAGAAATTTATGTTTTAAATAAAACTTTAATGTGTGTGAACAAATTGTGATTATTTTTTCTTTTGTAAACAGAAAAACAATGAAAATGAATGAAAAACTCCCTTTAATCACAAAAATTTAAAGATATAGAGCTATATTTCTAGAAATTACAAATAAATATCTTTGTATCTTCAATATTTTTAAAATAAAAATTCCATTATTAGAATAAGATAGGAGTTATTAATCCTCATTAAAATATTTGCATATCCAGGTGTAAAGATTAAAGCAAACTTTACTCTCAAATATCAGAAATTAAATCCATGAATTATTTTCTAATTCTCCCATTGAGAAATCAAAAGGCATACAAAGGGTTTCTACTAACAAGAAAAAAAGCTAGAGTAATAAAAATTCCAGCAACAAGTTGCATAACTTTCCTGGCTATTATGAGATCTTATTTAGAAAATATATTGTAATTAAAATTATAAAGGTTAACTTAATAAAATTGTGTGTGGTACCATCTGTTATAAGATTTTGTTATAAAAAACTTTTTATATTTTTAATTACTATAAAATAGCAAATAGCTTAATTTTGAGGGTAGGGATGAGATTTATAAAAAAGTATAAATATTAATAAGGAATAAAATTGTTATTAAGTCTGACCCTACTGGATATACACACGACCCTCTTTATCTCCCCACCCCATCAATATTTAACCACGAAAATTTAATAACATCAATACACCTCATATACAAGCCATCATACCAAATGTTGGTACTTAATCTTTACCCCATCCTGAGATATTATCAATACATGAAATAGATGCCAACACACTCTCAAATGCATACATATCCACTGAATTTTTTTGCTGTTTTTTGACTTTTGTGATTCTGGAGATCTTAAAATATGGAGTTTTGCAAGAAACTAGGCAGGTCAAATCTGACACAATTCCAATACTTGTTATGTATACATAATAAGGGAAAGTAAAAGGAGAAATGTAAAAGCCCCAAGAAACTAAAATATTTTCAACATTAAAAATGAGCATTTGAATTACTAATTATTATTGGCTTGTTTGGAAAGTTCATAACGATTTTTAAGAGAAATAAAAGAAACTGTTTTAAAACTAAAAATATACTTTTATTCCATTACATATGTGCCATTGTTTTTAATGACGTGTTCCATCTATGGGGGGAGCTTCATGATACCCTCTTTGTAGAACTTTCCAGTTTTTCTCACGAAAAACTGATCCACATGGTTTTTGCAAGCTTCCAAAGTGTAAAAGTTTTTATCATGAAGGGAATTTTGCAGAGAACAGAACAAACGGTAGTCCGATGGGACAAGATCGGGTGAATATGGGGGGGTGGGATAAAACTAAAAATATTGGAACTAGGCTGGGATAAAACATCCCAGCCTAGTTTCAATAATTTTTGGCGTGTTCATAAAGACGTGTGCAGTCTGGCATTATCTTGGTGAAACACAATACCTTTTCTATTGGCCAGTTCTGGACGTTTTTCTTTAATTGCCATGTTCAGTTTATCCAATTGAAAACAACACTTACCAGAATCAATTGTTTGATTCTGTGGAAGCAGCTTGTAGTTCAGGATTCCTTTCCAATCCCACCAGACTGTGAGCATGACCTTCTTTGGATGAAGACTGGCCTTTGGAGTTTTTAATGGTGGTTCATTTTTCTTACCCCATGATCGTTTTTAACTGATGTTGTTATAAATAATCTACTTTTCATCACCTGTCACTAAACGCTTCAGAAAGGAGTCATTTTCATTTTGTCTTTCAAGAGAATCACAAATGGAGACGCAATCCAGTAAGTTCTTTTCCATTAAGTCGTGAGGTATCCAAATGTCATAACGAATCACATATCCAAACTTCTTTAGATGTTGAAATATGGTACTGTTTGATGACTTCACTACGTCTGCAATCTCTCGAGTTGTATAATGAAGGTTTTCATCCAATAATGCTTTGAACTGATCCTTTTCAATAACGGGAGGTCTTCCTGAGCAGGGAGCATTTTCAAGGCTGAAATTACCTGCTTTAAATTTCACAAACCACTTTCGAACAGTTGATTCTGCTACAGAACTCCCACCATAAACATCACATATCTTTTTTGCTGTTTTTACAGCATTTTTTCCTTTACGATAAAAAAAAAAAAGAAACAAGTATCGATAATGCATGTTGTTTGCATCCATTTTTGCAATGAGACAAATTAAACGATATTTGAATAATCTTAACGGTTTTTTGTAATGAATGCGTCTCAAGGTCATTTATAATATTCATTGGTTTGTACAATTCTAATCATTTTCATGTCAATCAGTGTCTCAACTGGCGACTATCAAAAATTGCTACGAACTTTCCGAACAACCCAATAATTATACATTAATAAAATTCTGACTTTTTTATATTGTTTAAGCAGCTTTGAATATTATAATAATGAGGCAAATATACCATGAAGAAAAAGGTGTAAAAAAAAAATAATTAACAAGAAATGTGATGATATTTTTCTGCATTACTAAATTATGTAAGGAAACACGTGGGTATTGTTTAATATAAAAGAACTATAGTAACTAACAAATTCTAAATAAAAATTACTAAATAAATTTATATGGAGTTTATTACGATAAAATTATATTCTGATAAACTGTAAACCATAAATAACTTAATATATATATATATATATATATATATAAAAAATGAACACAAATACCCAATCCAGTAACAACCATCGCTCCCAAATCGGCAATGAAATTTCCTTTCCTGAAGGTAGCAACTCGTCCTCCAACTCGATCCTGATAACAGTTTAAAATGTTTCAATTTAGCATAATTATATCAAAATCTAATAGAAAAATATACAGAAGATTAAGACGTAAACGTTTATAAACAAAAAAATCATCATACTCTTGCTTCTAAAACAACAACTTCCATTCCAAACTGTTGCAGTTGCTGAGCAGCTGCTAATCCAGATATTCCTGCACCAATGATGATAACTTTTCCATGTTTTTTAGCTAATAAAATAGAAAAAATTTCATTAAAAACAAAGCAAATATAAACTAATTTAAAAAAAAATAACAGGAATTCAATTTCGAGAAAGTTAAAAATTTATTTCTAATCTTGATTAAAGTTTTTAAATATTTAATCAGACTTAAATATTAAATGAGTTATTTTTATTTTATATTACCGAAAATAAATTTTATTGGTTAATTAACTTCCCGAAAATACTTACTTGGAATTGGTTTTAATCTTTTAAACACTCCAAAATTAATATAACCGTGTCTTTCTAAATAAGCATGAATTCTCATAACTAATGGGCCATCACCTAAATTTTAAACATTTTCATTATTTTCAAATACTGCTCATAAGAAAACAAAGACAAATCGAATATATATATATATAAGAGTTCTTTCCAATTTACTTACTGTTATAAGGTGGTTCAATCTGCGGTAAAACATTTTCGAATATAAGTTGTTGCTTTGGATTTTCAAGCCACAATTGTAACTACAATATAAAAAGTATTAAAAATTTGAAATTATCATTACAAATATACTGTCTTAATATACAGAGTGGTGAAAAAGTCAATTAATATATTGATATTGATATATTTTTTTAAGATTAGCTTCTTCCATTCTTGACTTGTCATCCTGTGAGCACTAAGGCCTTTTTTCAGACCCATTGTGGATTTGGCCAGGTTTAAAATGGAGCCTGGCATTTCTGGAACCCGTAAAGAATTCCTGGGATTTTTTGCCCACCTGAATTTGAGTCCCAAGCAATAGGTTGGCACCTTAACCACCTTGGCTAAGATTAGTTAAGAATGGTTAAAACAGATATGGAATATTTTTCAGTGATATTACTAAATTAAGAATGATAGCAATAAATTTTTTCCAAACTTGCTTAGTTTTTTAAAAAATAATATGCATCTGTTAACTGATTTTTGGGCCACCCTCTAGCAAAACTTAAATTACATAAGATCAATTGAAACAAATATTCAAAACTTCAGCAGGAAATATTTATTTAACTAACATTAAACAACAGTAGTATTAACAATTACAATTAGTAAAACTTAATTATTTAATTAATTTATACTTAACTCATAAAATCATACAATTAAAATCTTTATTTTAATTGTATGTTAATATTTTTCTATTAAAATTTGTACAAGTATTTAGAATCTTGTTTCAACCATAACAAGAAATTTGAAGTGTTACATGCATTTCTGAATTATTATATATTAATATAATCTATTAGTTAAATCAAATAAAAAATAATTCAAAAATATCATTGTACTAATATCAAGCAAATTTCTAAATTACTTTCTAGTCATTACAGTAATATTTATTTAAGACAGCAACATTCATGTACCATTTGACTAAATTAACTTAATAATTTCTCAGTGCAGAGTAGAAAGAGTTTTAAAAAATTATTGTTATTATTATAATGGTACAAAGTTTTGTAAACTTTCATGTGAAAAGACTAATTTTGGTAATAAGAAACGGTTAAATTTTTAAACATTTAATCATCAAATTGTAACAAAAACAATGCTTTAATGGAGTTAAAGATAAAAAGAAACATAAAACAACAAATAAAGAGTAGAAATTTACCATGCTTTTGTAATAGCCAAACGTTTTATTATATGTACGTTATGTTCGACCTGAAAAAGATCCAGCTGAAGGATTGAAAACATTAGTCATTATCAAGATAATAAACTACTGGAGAATTGTTTAGAAGGTACTACAAAGAAGGTTTGATGCTATATTTCCACTCCAACATTAATAAGTGTGAGTAGAACATAAAAATATTTCAAGCACACAAAGTAAAAGTATATTGTAATTGCTCTTGTTGTTATTACCAAAATGTAAGAATGTTACCCAATTAAATCATGTAAAAAAACAATCGAAGGAACTGGATGAGCAAGTAAGAAATCAATAACCAAACATTCAGCACTTTAATAAAACTAAAGTTTTAGATTGACTTAATCAACCCTAATTCAAATTTTGTAAATTCTATCATTAATTTTGTTGTAAATCTGATAATGGCTGATAAAGTCAGTTGAAAACGTTAATTTTTATTAAAATGTTTGTCCTGGTTTGCTAGATTTTTGGTTACTGTGGTGATTACAATTAAATCATTACAGTAGATATTTATTCATATGTTATTTAAAAACCTTAAAGTGATTAATGCTAGAGATGCACTGGTTACTGGTCATAAAGGAAGAAGGCTGTCTTTCGACTTAGCCTGAAAGAAGGTGACTGAATGAAGGTGGGGTGGGAGGGAGAATAGGATGGGTATAGAAGAGAGGATGGGATAGGTTGGGGGTAAGGGATAGCATAGGTTGGAAGTAAAGATTGGGGTAGGTATGGATCCCAATGCCGACTTGCATCTCTAATAATATAAAGTCAGTAGTACAACTGAATGCAGAGACCAATCCGGTAGCAGAGTGTTATCTAGAGATGCACTTGAGTTGGATAGAATTTCAGCTGCACTATTAGACACAAGAAAGTTTTCTCTTACCACACATATAATCAATAAATTTGATTAGATGTACTGTACATACATGATCATGGTTGTTTACTGAAATGACCATTTCGCACTTTCTTGATGACAATTATCACTTAAAGCATTATTACATCTATCTTACTTAAAATCCTACACAAAGCTTTTTACATGTAGCTTCCTTTATTTTGCAATTAAGTTTTATTTACATTCATTTTAAATATTATTTTAACATTTATAATTAAGTGTTAATTTTAGTTTAAACTGTTACTTGATCCTATAGCATTTTGCTTATTTCATTGAAAAAATTTCTGTAATGAAGCTGGTAAAAATGGCAAGAAACATTTGGCTACCTAAAAAAAACAATGTAAGTTTCTGTTTTCAAAATACGATTCCAAAAACTTTGCAATTTAAAGATAAACAAACAAGTTAATATTATTATAAATATTTAATGTATTGCAAATTTATTTTTATTCTATCTTAATGCAATAAGATAGAAATTTGAATAATAGATTCATTACATTCAATCACTACACAATTACATTCCATTACAAATATTATTTTCCTGATAAAGAAGTTTTTTGAGCACTTTCAAATATTGAAAATGCTTGAAAAACAGCTCATTATTTTGTGTTTTATGTGTTTTCATTCCGTTAAAGCATCGTTTCTTGTAACAATTTTTATTATAATGGTAAATCACTGTTCAGTTTTGCTACTTATTTAATCAAACATTTAATTTTTATTCAAATTCTGAAATGCATTTTTACTACATGGTATACAAACATAATGTTATATTACAGCATTTAGCAAATGAATATTTTAAATATACTTTTAAATTTGAATCAAAATATCGATTATACTGTATTATATTTTAAAAATCTGTATTTTTTACATGCAGCAAATGAACAATTTCTATATCAGTACAATGTAAAAATTTAACAGACCAATTTTGGTTATCAAATATGTAAGACCTACTTATAAAGATAAAATATATAGGCAAATACTTTCAACGGTGCATTACTATCTTTGTCAGGCAAAAGTTTTTGTAGATATTGTAAAAAGTTTTATTTGTAGATCTCACATTACTTGATAACAGACAAGGGAATACATTAATGCATGAGATTGTGACCTGTTTTCTCTGGCATGGGAATATCTGTTGATGCACTACAATCACATCACATTAATTTCTAAATAAAATAAATTCATTTTAGCCAAATAGTATGTCAAACTCCAGGCCAAATATTATACAATAATAGATACGCACACTGTCAGTCGCATTAAAATCCTTTTTTATAATGCAAGTACTTTCAACAATACAAAATCGTTACCATGAAGCTAACGAATGTCTTAAATTTAAACAGAATGTCACTACATACAGTATAATATTCTTGATATTTAAATATTTAGAATGTTTGATACATTAAAACCTGGATTATTTATGGACTATATTTATTACTAATTATGCTAATTATTAAATAATTTAATTAAGTAATTTGGTCTAAAGGTAGTTTTTAGGTCTTTGAGTGATTGTATATCGTCTATTTTTGATTATCTTTTGAAACTTCAATTAACAATAACTATAGCACTTAGAAGACATTATAGTTACCATTTAAACCGTATTATGGGTATTTTGATCACTAATATTTTAAGTTATGATCAGCCTCTAAAGATAGACAATAAAACTTCAAAAATATCAGAATTTATAAAAAAATAAACCAATAAAAAAGCCTGATAATTCAGAAGTCCAATATACTTTAACCTGAACGTTATCCAAATATTATTTCATCTTCACAAAGTTTGTCAATAAATATAATTCTTTAAATGAAAAATATAGTTAATTAACGATGAATTGTTATTAGAATTATTGTTTTTTGATTTTTTTAAATTGCAGCAAAGCAAGTTTTTATTTAAATTTTTTATTTTAATTCACATGAACATCTCTAAGCCTGATTTATTAGCTGAGCGTTTGCTGTTTGAGTGTCATGGAGAGAGTTACAGGCAGTGGGTGCTGAAGTCTCCCCTGTCAGTGCCGTGCATAACCAGTATGGTTATATATAAATGAATAGTTCTGAAAGCAAAGATTGGACAGAGGTCCACACAGCATAACTGCATCTGCACAGTAAGCAGAAATTACAGATTCAAGTCCCTTTTGGTCAATTCTTTTCTTTCAGAAAATTTTAAATTAAAATAACTTGTTATAATTATTAAAATTAACATGAAATGGCAGCATAACCACCTACCTCTAGACAAATTAATTTATTCCTAATCATTAACTTAGACATATAATAGTCTGATAATTTGGCACTTTGATTTTTAATTCATATTATGTATTTTTTTAAATTTATTTTTAATTGTCTTAACATTTTATTTAGTTTTTTTTTAATCTGTAAATATGCAATTTCAAACATATTAATGTGAAAATAAGTAACCTAAAACAAAAACCTTTTGAAATACATGTAAAAGATTTATAAAGAACAAACAGTTACAGTCATTTTCAATGATCATCTTCAAATTATAGGAACGAACAGAAAGAACTAAAATACAAATATAATGGCAAGTAAATACACAGTATTACAGAACAAAATAAATATTTAATGTTTTAAAATATTTACTAATTTTTATCTTTATGTTAACAGTTAAATATTTAATTTTGTTTTATACTACTGCTTGCTATTATATACTTGTATTTGAAATTCATTTGTTTTAGCACCTGAAGACAGTCGTTGAAGATATTGAAAAAATGGTTACATTAATAAAGTGATTCCTTGAATATTTATTAGCATCTTGGTCTTATGATTTATAAATATTATTTCTTTTTACAGAAAAATTGATTTTAAGTTCTCATAGCTGCAGTATTTGGAATATTACTATAGTTCAAACTCTTTTAGAAACTGGATATTATAACGTAAAATAGAACATTTACATTGGTCTTATTAAATGCTTACTGGAAGTAATTCAAAGTTCCTCTGTTGTGGTTTGTGTCAATATATTTTAAGCATTTGGAAAATTAATAATTTGTTTCTGGTTATGAAGCTATCTGAAGTTTCATTTCTTCTTGTGCTTCGCTAATTCAATATATCAGTATAATATAATATTAATTTGTTACTTATAAAGTTTTATCTTAAATTCATGAATATTTATCATTAGTAGAAGCATATCAATTCTTGATTTTTAAGCTGTTTTTGTCAATTTTAAGAATGTTTTAATGAAAATTTTACAAATAAAAAATCATTTTAATTATTAAACTTACTAGTCTATTTCGAATATGTAAAAATACTTTCTGTGTCTGAGGAGGACCTTGACTTATATCAGGAAAACAAGCTGCTTCTTGGGCCGTCATTTTGTCAAAAGGTAGACGACTCTGAAATGCTGCACCTTCCAATCCTGTGGGATCATCATGCTCGCTATCCACTTCCTCTATCACCATTTCTTCTGCTTTTGGAGGTGGTACAGGTGGTGGTTTTATTTCTTGTTTAGCTTTCTCCTCATCTGAGACATACTCCTCTTCAGATACAGCTGCAACCTTTCCTTCAGATTCTTTATACTCTACCTAAAAAATTGAAAGCATTTCAAAATAAAATTATTATTATTATTCAATAGTTTTCACTTTACATATTTGTATATACATAAACTTTTCATGGAATGCTACAGTAAAAATGATTACAATATTCTAATTATTATACAACTTTAATCATTTTTTTGCATATTAGAGACAGCAAAGTAATTTTAATTTTTATCATCAATAACATCATCTAAGATTTAAAATTATCATTATCATTGTTGCCTAGATATAGTCAAACATCCAAACAATGGCCACTGATGGGTACATAGAAAATGGCCACTATTTGCAGATTATTCTGATGCATTTTTCTTCAACATTTCTAAAAAAAAATGGCCTCTGTTTAGTGGTGGCACTTATCAGAGGTTCAACTGTATATATCAGTTTAACCGAATAAAAGAAACATTAAAATTCGAACAAAAACTCAAATTTACTCTTTCAAGTAAACAAAATATTTGCTTTATTGGAGTATTTCTAATAAAAAAATTCAGTCTTCCAACTTAATGCTTTCAAGTCTTTAATTTTATCTTATGATTTTTGATTAGTATATGTATTTTAAATTCATTCTGTATATGTATATGTAATTCACGTATATGTAATCTGCATTCTTGGTTAGAAGTTTTAAGAAATCATAAGTTTCGTTCATTAGAAAAAATATTAAAAACATTCATACTGAAGAGCATGAATTCTATATTGAATATGAACACACTTTAAATATTCTCATTCATTATACATGTCTTACACAACTGAATATATATTTTTAAAACATTTACTTTATGTAGAAAAGAATGGCATTAAATTGAAATTGAAATTCTCACAACTTAGTAATTATTATTAGTATTTTTAATTAATTTAATGTTAATCAAATATAAATTACTTGAGAATACTTCATTCAAACATTTCTCGTGTAAGGATACTTTCAATTAATTTTTAACAGTTGAATAAAAAACAGTCTAACATTTCAGAAACATGTTATCTCACTTTGTTTAATCAAAGAATTTAATCAAAGCAATACTTCTTGGAATGTACTTTGATGAAGCAAAATGGAAATATATTATAATAATTTGTGTTCCAATAGTTCTGGAACACAAATTATTGTAATATGCTCTCCCAGAGATTAATTTAACTGGTTCAAAACTACTTGTAACATTGTTACAGTATAATTGGAAACTATTGTTTGCCCAAAAAGTAAATATTTTGCAGTATTGTCAATTGGATTAAATTTACCATACTTATACTCCATAGTTTTTCATAGAAGTAATATTCAATGGAATTTACAACTCCACAGTCTTAAAACCAAATCATTATTGAATGTAACTCAATGTAGGTAGTTAGTAACGACTTAGATTGACAACACTAAACAGTTAGAATGATGCATAAATGAAGAATAATTGTGACATGAAATTTCCAAATAATAATAAGGTTGGAAAAGCTGCCTCTTAAAGAAGTACGAGCAGTAAATCAATTTTTGCAAGCCAAAAGGTTTCTGCCATCATGTCCCATCAAGATGTCATAGAATGGTATGGGAGGTTTGGAAGTAGTCAAGCATAAAGCATTCCGCATTGTGGATTTGCCAAGGATGTTTCAATAAAAGGTTTTTCATCATCTCACTTATATAGCCAAAGTCTGGTTCCTTTTTATATTTGCTTTCTCATATTTGAAAATCATATGCAGTCAACATTTCACTACGGATGAAGAAGAGAAAGCTGTTGTCACTGGATACCTGCATCAACAGACAGGAAATTTTTTAGGATAGGATGAACAAGCTCATTATACAATTTAATAATGCCTGAATAGGTGGGATGATTTTGTTGAGAAATAGCATATTGCTTGTAGCCAAATCCTACATGCTTCCATTTTTGCAATAAATATATTTGGATCTGTTGTTGGTTTGATAAATTTAATTTTTGATTAGTATATGTATTTTGAATTCATATTCTATGTATTGAATCGTATTCTTTTTCATACTCAACTACTTAAATTTCTTAACATATAGATAGACCTTGCTAACATGATGGGTGAGGTTCCACGTCACTGCCATAAAGTGAATATCACTTTAAAGTAAATCAACCGGTTTTCACTTCCCATACAAATTAAATACATTGCCTAAAAACATATTTATGTTATAATTTATAAGTGCTATTTAGTGCATATTTATTACGCCCACATTAGTGCTAGGCCTAAAAATAATAGGCTTTAGGTAATATGACAGATGGAACATTATAAATCTAGAGATAGAACACTGTCTCTAGATTTATAACATTCCATCCATCATATTACCCGAAGATGATTATATATTGTCGAAAGTGCTCGTGGTAAATACGTTAACTAAACATATTTACCAGTAACACCAACAGACAATTTTTATATTTTATTTTATATAAATAATACAATCTTGTGTTCAACAGTCAATTTTATATTTTCGTTTATTTTTATTAAGTGGTGCCGCTTGTTGTTTTTATCTCATAAAAATACAGTATGTTACTGAATTCTGTTTTGTGTATAAACATTTGCATTTATTAATTTTTGGGATGAACAATTGTTTATACTGTAACTTTGCAGCATTGAATTTTAATTAAACTGAAACTAATTAGTCTAAAAAATGTAGTTTTTCAAATAACAATCTCAATATTTTAATTACAAATGGCTATAAATTATCAACTTCAAGATATAATTTGAAGGATTAAAATAAATTTTCCATTTATAACAGAAATTTTAAATTAAAAAAAATATGACATATTAAGTTTAATAAATAAATATTTATTAAAAATTAATTTAATTGTAGACATCTTTTGTAGTAAAGCCATTTAATATTGAAATTATCTTCTTAAGAATAAATGTCTTCCAAACACTGGAAACACTGGATTTTTATAAATGAAAGGTGTTGACTTATGTTTTTCTAACTCTTTCTACTCCGTGGGCACTAAAGAGCCTTTTTTAGCAAGTCCATTATGGATTTAGCTAGGCCCTTAATGGGGTAACCGGGTGGTGAGGGACAGGGCCTAACATATCCAGACTACCCGAAAATATTCCTGGATTTTTTCAAACTGTCCAGATTCAATCCTAGGTTCCCCAGAACATTAGATTGTCACCTTAACCACTCAGTCACGTGTAAGGATGCAAATTTGATGGATGATGTATAATAAAAATATATTTACGTATGTAAAATTGTTTATAGAGATAACAGATTTTAATAACCATTAGTGACTTTTACTCATATATATAATATAAAGTGATAATCAAATACAATATAATGATATTCTGTTCACTATTTGAAAAGTACTCTTCATTAATTTTCCTTTTTCTTTTTATCTCCTAGATGAACAATATATCATTGATAAAATGTTCACATATGTTATCTTTACCACTGAATAAAAACAATAACAATGAAATTGATTTATTCAATGATTTCATGTCACTATATTTGAAAATTAATTAAAATATTTTATGGTTTGTTGGTATATCAGATTGTTTATTTTATCAGAAAAGTCAGAACTGCATATTTTATAATAATAAATTATTATTATTTTTAAATAGTCAACATTTGAATCTTCAAACAAAATATTTAATTTAGTTCATAATTTAATCTTTCCAAATCTTTATCATTAATTTAATAAAACAATTTATATATAAACAACAACTCGTAGCCTGATTCTAATTGATTAAGCCAAATAATCTTGCTAAAATTATCGGGCTACTAATTATACATCTAGTCGAATCGATTATTAACATAGCCCAATAATTTCAGCAAGATTATTTGGCTTAATTAATAAAACATTCCTTTTATAAGTCCTTATCATTAATTTAAGACTAAAGAAAATCCTTAGAATAAAGAAATCCAAGTAAAAACAATATGATAGATGTTTATAAGATTGAATCTTGACTTTGGATCATCCAACAAAAAAAATAATAGGGTTTTAAAAACTGTTCCCTTTGGCAATGGATCTAAAGCCAAAATTTGATCTCAGATATATCTATCCTTTACTTTTTTGCTTAATTTCTCTATTTTAAACATTATTTTTAGTCTGAAATTTAAATCAATACTGTAAGTGATTCAAGAATATGACAACAAAAATTAATTATGACGTTCAAAATGTTATGATTTCTAAATTTCTTCATATAGCTTATCAAGTCGTATTTTTCCCGTATTAAAAAGTCGCTCCCTTTCATTTATCTGGGCAAAACTGCAAACAGATTTATAAATAATTACTATATAACAGAGATATCAATTTGAAAATATAATGCATTACTGTTGATTGATAGTAATCATGCGCATCATCTGCTTGTATCTGTTTGGAAAGTTATTACTCGAGCCAATAAGTGCATAAGTTTTGTCATTAATCCCAGTTCACACACATCAGTAACACTAACGTATTATTGAATGTTAGCATTACCAGAAGTATTTTTCAGTTAGAGATGATTATAAAAGCTTTCTTGGAAACACTGTTGATGCCAACAGTGACACAAAAGTGCTTATTCGTCTGTGAAACAATTTCCCAGGAGGCACTTAATGTTCTGAATGACAAGTATCGAGCAGGAATTATACATTACATTTCTGGGTCTGTAACTCTTTTCTGTCGTGATGAGATTCGTAATGAATTTGTACGCACTTTCTGTGCTAGAAAGATGAGAAGAAATAATTTTTTTTCGACTTGAAAATTAGCCATTTGATCAGGAAAATTGAGAAATTATAAAAATATATCTATTAAGTTTAGTCTATTTTTATCATTATAATCTAAATGTATAGATTGATTGACTAACAAAAGTACTTTTTAAAAACATTTTGTAAACTCAAATTGCTGAAAATCTCTCACAAAATTATCTTATAATTCTGTACATATCCAATATTATATCATCCAAAATAACAGTAATTAAAAAAAATTAATTTAATCATTTAAAATACAAAGAAATATGACAATTTTATAATAAAATAAAAAATATATTTTACTTTTTATATAAATTATATATGCTTTTAGCATCATTAAACATCACTATTAATAATTACTGATTCATCTCCCAAATTTTTCTTATAAATTTAAAAGTCTAAAACAGTTGTAGAATACTCATCAACATTCCAAAAATTCAAATAAAGCAAAAAAACATACTGTTTTATTGGATTGAAAATGGAAAAAAAGAAAAAACAAACAGAAGTTCATTCAGTAAGCAGCAGGAAACTTCTGTTTGATTTTTTCACTCCTGTTCTGTTTGTTTCAATTTAAAACATTTGAAAATGCTTTGAATCAAAAGTTCAATTAACATTTGAATGAAACATTATGTTTTTTTGATTTTTATCCCCTGATAATGAACTTAAGAGGCCTGAAAGTACTAGGCAACTTCTGTATGTTTATTTGTTTTTTTTTGTTTTTTTTGTTTTGAGTTGAATAAACAGTATTTTTTTATTTTTCTCAGTTTAAAACATCCTACATTACTTATGTTTTCAAGATTTTTCTCAAATTTAGACCCATTGTTATGAATCAAACAAATTAGAAAATTTAACATAAGACTCCTTCTACAACAGATTTTTTTTCACAGTTTTAAAATAAATTAATATTTTTGTATAAATTTAAATAAAAAATAAATTAAATACAATATTTTTTTACATTATATGCTATTAGATGTTGCTATACAAACTAATATCTAAAAAAATGCACAGCTTTCCATATTTTGGCACAGACTACGTAAACAGATGCCCTATTTAATAAATGCATTACATCTCTAGCATTCGAAATTTTTTCAACACAAAANGCCGTGCATAACCAGTATGGTTATATATAAATGAATAGTTCTGAAAGCAAAGATTGGACAGAGGTCCACACAGCATAACTGCATCTGCACAGTAAGCAGAAATTACAGATTCAAGTCCCTTTTGGTCAATTCTTTTCTTTCAGAAAATTTTAAATTAAAAAAAATATGACATATTAAGTTTAATAAATAAATATTTATTAAAAATTAATTTAATTGTAGACATCTTTTGTAGTAAAGCCATTTAATATTGAAATTATCTTCTTAAGAATAAATGTCTTCCAAACACTGGAAACACTGGATTTTTATAAATGAAAGGTGTTGACTTATGTTTTTCTAACTCTTTCTACTCCGTGGGCACTAAAGAGCCTTTTTTAGCAAGTCCATTATGGATTTAGCTAGGCCCTTAATGGGGTAACCGGGTGGTGAGGGACAGGGCCTAACATATCCAGACTACCCGAAAATATTCCTGGATTTTTTCAAACTGTCCAGATTCAATCCTAGGTTCCCCAGAACATTAGATTGTCACCTTAACCACTCAGTCACGTGTAAGGATGCAAATTTGATGGATGATGTATAATAAAAATATATTTACGTATGTAAAATTGTTTATAGAGATAACAGATTTTAATAACCATTAGTGACTTTTACTCATATATATAATATAAAGTGATAATCAAATACAATATAATGATATTCTGTTCACTATTTGAAAAGTACTCTTCATTAATTTTCCTTTTTCTTTTTATCTCCTAGATGAACAATATATCATTGATAAAATGTTCACATATGTTATCTTTACCACTGAATAAAAACAATAACAATGAAATTGATTTATTCAATGATTTCATGTCACTATATTTGAAAATTAATTAAAATATTTTATGGTTTGTTGGTATATCAGATTGTTTATTTTATCAGAAAAGTCAGAACTGCATATTTTATAATAATAAATTATTATTATTTTTAAATAGTCAACATTTGAATCTTCAAACAAAATATTTAATTTAGTTCATAATTTAATCTTTCCAAATCTTTATCATTAATTTAATAAAACAATTTATATATAAACAACAACTCGTAGCCTGATTCTAATTGATTAAGCCAAATAATCTTGCTAAAATTATCGGGCTACTAATTATACATCTAGTCGAATCGATTATTAACATAGCCCAATAATTTCAGCAAGATTATTTGGCTTAATTAATAAAACATTCCTTTTATAAGTCCTTATCATTAATTTAAGACTAAAGAAAATCCTTAGAATAAAGAAATCCAAGTAAAAACAATATGATAGATGTTTATAAGATTGAATCTTGACTTTGGATCATCCAACAAAAAAAATAATAGGGTTTTAAAAACTGTTCCCTTTGGCAATGGATCTAAAGCCAAAATTTGATCTCAGATATATCTATCCTTTACTTTTTTGCTTAATTTCTCTATTTTAAACATTATTTTTAGTCTGAAATTTAAATCAATACTGTAAGTGATTCAAGAATATGACAACAAAAATTAATTATGACGTTCAAAATGTTATGATTTCTAAATTTCTTCATATAGCTTATCAAGTCGTATTTTTCCCGTATTAAAAAGTCGCTCCCTTTCATTTATCTGGGCAAAACTGCAAACAGATTTATAAATAATTACTATATAACAGAGATATCAATTTGAAAATATAATGCATTACTGTTGATTGATAGTAATCATGCGCATCATCTGCTTGTATCTGTTTGGAAAGTTATTACTCGAGCCAATAAGTGCATAAGTTTTGTCATTAATCCCAGTTCACACACATCAGTAACACTAACGTATTATTGAATGTTAGCATTACCAGAAGTATTTTTCAGTTAGAGATGATTATAAAAGCTTTCTTGGAAACACTGTTGATGCCAACAGTGACACAAAAGTGCTTATTCGTCTGTGAAACAATTTCCCAGGAGGCACTTAATGTTCTGAATGACAAGTATCGAGCAGGAATTATACATTACATTTCTGGGTCTGTAACTCTTTTCTGTCGTGATGAGATTCGTAATGAATTTGTACGCACTTTCTGTGCTAGAAAGATGAGAAGAAATAATTTTTTTTCGACTTGAAAATTAGCCATTTGATCAGGAAAATTGAGAAATTATAAAAATATATCTATTAAGTTTAGTCTATTTTTATCATTATAATCTAAATGTATAGATTGATTGACTAACAAAAGTACTTTTTAAAAACATTTTGTAAACTCAAATTGCTGAAAATCTCTCACAAAATTATCTTATAATTCTGTACATATCCAATATTATATCATCCAAAATAACAGTAATTAAAAAAAATTAATTTAATCATTTAAAATACAAAGAAATATGACAATTTTATAATAAAATAAAAAATATATTTTACTTTTTATATAAATTATATATGCTTTTAGCATCATTAAACATCACTATTAATAATTACTGATTCATCTCCCAAATTTTTCTTATAAATTTAAAAGTCTAAAACAGTTGTAGAATACTCATCAACATTCCAAAAATTCAAATAAAGCAAAAAAACATACTGTTTTATTGGATTGAAAATGGAAAAAAAGAAAAAACAAACAGAAGTTCATTCAGTAAGCAGCAGGAAACTTCTGTTTGATTTTTTCACTCCTGTTCTGTTTGTTTCAATTTAAAACATTTGAAAATGCTTTGAATCAAAAGTTCAATTAACATTTGAATGAAACATTATGTTTTTTTGATTTTTATCCCCTGATAATGAACTTAAGAGGCCTGAAAGTACTAGGCAACTTCTGTATGTTTATTTGTTTTTTTTTGTTTTTTTTGTTTTGAGTTGAATAAACAGTATTTTTTTATTTTTCTCAGTTTAAAACATCCTACATTACTTATGTTTTCAAGATTTTTCTCAAATTTAGACCCATTGTTATGAATCAAACAAATTAGAAAATTTAACATAAGACTCCTTCTACAACAGATTTTTTTTCACAGTTTTAAAATAAATTAATATTTTTGTATAAATTTAAATAAAAAATAAATTAAATACAATATTTTTTTACATTATATGCTATTAGATGTTGCTATACAAACTAATATCTAAAAAAATGCACAGCTTTCCATATTTTGGCACAGACTACGTAAACAGATGCCCTATTTAATAAATGCATTACATCTCTAGCATTCGAAATTTTTTCAACACAAAATTCCTTAAACCTGACCAACTACGGTATTTTCCTCCGAGGCTTCTTCATCTTTTGAATCTTTCTTCTTTAATTTAGAATCTTAAAATGACTGCTTAGTTAAAGAAGCTACATATAATACATGGCTTCTCTAATATATTAAACAATACAGAACTTATTTAACAAAGGAGTTGTTTCAAATTTTTTAAATGGATATAATTAGAAAAGTGCACCAACCATAGAACAGAAAAATATCAGAAGTTATCCATCTCTAATTCCTTTAAATCCTTTCCACCAAACCGATTAAATTAGGAAGAAAAATAAAAAGAAAATTATTTAATTTAATTTATTATTTTAAATCCTTCCTTCGATATTTATTAAAGAATAAAAAAATATATAACATAAGAAATCACAACGTATGAAGGTGATTTCCTCTGCAATACATTAAAAAAAATCTTTTTATACATATTATTTTGTTTTTAACGCATTAAATGTATTGGAAATTTAAAAACACGTATAAAATATAAAATTAATTTAATTATTTTATGTAATTCTTAATTGAGAGAGTGAAATAAAAAGATTGTGAAATTGACGAATTTTTTTTGTTTGTAAACACGTGAACAGGACACGTGTCTATTTCAAAACACAAACCGCGTTGTTTATTAGGACTAATGAATGGAATTGGGCTTAGTTTTTATTAAGATATTTAAATTTGAAAAGGGAATTATTTACTTTCGGTCTCTTTCTTCTGCTGGATCTTCGAGTTTGCTCGTCTCCGCTGGATCCGACCGATTGTTTCTCTTGTTCAGCTGCTGTCATTCCAGCCGTTTCGCTAGGTTCTGGTGGACTAGAACGTTTTCTATCGTCGTTAGCGTTGTTTACATTACTCATTTCTCAATGGCTGTGCTTAATTTGTTAATTTTCGTCCGCAAATAACGCGATAAACAACCACAACCTTCCGACTTTCTCTCTTACTTCTTCGCTAATGGCTCCGACTGTTCAAAGAGATGAATGACAGTTAACTTTTGCGCTCGTGTTTAGTTTCGTATCTCGTTTCCGATGTTTTATTTATAATTTTATTCTATAAAAATTGAAAACAATTAATTTGTCGTCAAATTTGATTTGAGTTTAAAAATAATAATAATAATTTTAAAAATTAAATATTTTTAATTTTTTTTTAATCTGGCAACTCTTAAGAATGGCAGAAAGACGACTAATAACGTTGCCACTCCAGCTAAATTAATCGATGAGGACTAAAAATTTTTTATACTTTTAAAAAATTGTTATTGCTCGTAAAATAAATTTTAAGATTGTTATATAAATTATTAAATAAAAACTTTTACTTATAAAAAGTAAATAATTTTTTCGAAAATTGGCATCCCGTCTTTTCTTAATAGATTGATGAAAAAAAGGCGATTCAACACGCGGGCAATCTCCTAAGCTGGGTGCCCCGGGAGGCCTTTCTATTAATTTAAAAACTGGCTCCTACTTAAATGTAGTGAAGGAAATCCAGCAAACTCCAGCCCGCTGATGAAGCGCGAACCCGCGACCAATTACCAGTGTTTGGTGGTTTTTATCCATTTGGCCATTAAAAGGCACGCTCTTCTTTAGTTTCTGTTTACCGTAAATTAAATGTAACAAGTAATATTTGTTACAGATTGCTTTATTTGTTTATGGAAACACGACACGTGAGCAATCTGCCGAAAGGAAATGTCTCTCGGATGGACTTTTATGAGAAACTGGGCCGTATTTAAGAGCTACAAACGTGAAGCCCGGAAAACTTTACGTGGCCAATAAGGAGTAAATCCGCGACTAACTTCCAGTTTTTATCCACTGGTGGGCCCGTTATGAGCAGAAAAAAATACGAGTAAACCATTAATTTAATAATACATAACTCTTCTTCTGCAACTTGCAGTAAATTTCTCGTGTTTTTAACGATTTAGTGAATAGAAAATGAAAAGTTAAATCATCTCAAAATTACGTAAATTTTGTCATTAAAATAAGTCCGAGAACCCAAATAATAATTTCTTAATACGAGTGACCAAAAAAAAGGAGCGCCGCGGAACAAAATTTGGAAGACCCGAAGGCTTTTTTCCGTTTTGTTTCCTATTATATCAGGCGATTAATGAAATTATTTTAAATTTTAATACACGAAATGACTAAAGTGATTTTAAAAATGTACAAAACATACGATAAATACACAGAAAATAATAAAATCTGTTTATTTTATTATAAAATATTTCCAACGATCTCTGTCATACAATATTATACTCGGATCGAAACACCATTATTGCCATCATTTTTACAGACTTGTATTACAGTATTGTGCTTATATATATTACATAAATAAAATTCGAGCCGTTCAAATTTGTGTTATAAACTTCATATTTTCAAATTAGAATTAAAATATTTAACAATTTATGAAATAAATATAAAAATTGGATGGAATATTAATTCCATTTTATTTAAATTGATTTCTTAATGATAAAGAGCTCTCTAGATCGGTGGTTCTTGGTGTCGAAAGGCTGCAAACTTTTAAAGACCTCTTTCTGTCCTAATGGTATCAAGGCCTTTTTCTGGGTTCTTTGTGGGATGGCTAAATGGCTGAAACAATTAAAGTGTCAGCCTACCACTTTGAGGGACTTGGGATCAAATCCGAGTAAGTAATCCTAGGAATTTTTCATGGTGGTCTTGTCTTGTCCATATTTAGGCCCCATCCTAGTTACTTGGCTGCCATTGGTGCTGGCTTAATGGTAACTTGCACCTAAAGCATAACTGATTTTTGACACACTGCTTCTAGACTGTTGCCAGTAGAGAGCTCTTTTGGAGCCAGTACTCTTGTACTAACGACTTTAAAGTACTAAATATTCATTGTATTTAGCTTATTAATTATTATTTTCTCCTTCTGAGTATTTTTGATGGCTCATTTCGCCACTCAAGGCAGTCAAACTCATCGTTTCCTCCATTGAGCCAGTCCTGACCGTCACTTGCAATCCAAGAATCTCTAGGTAAGGAAATCGTGTGTTTTGCCCATGCCCGCAACGGTGGCAGTCAGGACCGGCTCAATGGAGGAAACGATGAGTTGACTGCCTTGAGAGGCAAAATAAGCAGTAAAAATTCTCAAAATGGTCAGAACTGGCCCACACAATATCGCTAACTGAGTGATAAAGCATGGGGCCCACTGTTTCTGCAACAGACCATCCATGAAAAATTCCTCAAGTTCACTACCTGGATTTAATCTCAATTCTGTGAAGTTTTCTAGAGGCTAAGAACTCTACCATCCAGTAATAGTTAAGAATCACTATTTTATGACAAAAATATAACAATTTATGAGAAATATCTATTCATTTTTTCCACATAGTTTTTATGTTTTTCAGCTTATAAGACATACAGGTTGGTCCAAAAGTCAGTTAAACACTGTAAAAACTAAGTTACTGTCTTAAATGCTTCACTACTTCAAAATTTTGTAGAAATTGTTTAAAACAACATCTTACTTGTCATTTTAAACAATTAATTAATAAGTTTTTTATAGTATCTTGTTCAAGCAATTTGCTCAATTAACTAACTTCTGGACCTCCCTGTGTACTATGTCACTTAAAACAGAAAATTTAAGTACTTGTACTGAATATATATTGTATATTTTGTTATTTTTCTATCTTGTAAAGATGCTAAAAACTATTACATTGTAAATAACATAAAATTTTGCAACAATTTTGCAATTAAGTCCATAAAAATACACATTGACATAGGTTTAAGATAACAGAAAGCAAATTTAATTAAATAATAAGTACACAATTTTGTCACTTGAATAAAGTTTTATCTGAATATTTTTTATTCAAACTGAAAGCATAAAATCTTGTTTATAAAACTAATTATTTGATATTCAATTATTTTATTTACAATTATTGAAATCTTTCAAATTAAGTTAGTCCATTTAACATTAACAATTAAGCAAATAAGTCAAATATATTTTAATCTTATAATGACAAATCCGACATTACTCGATTTTACTTTATTCATTTTAGAGTAATAAAATAGCAGAAATTTTTTAAATGATTAAATCTTTTTCTACATAAATGCAATTTACAAGAGCAAAAATTTTATGATGCTTCAACTCAGAAAAGCATTTTGTTGTTGTAAGCATTATCTGAATTATTATAAAATAAATAAGTAAATAATTTATAGCTTTTTAGAGGTGATTAATATGAATACAGCAATAACTATTCTCTCTTTACTACAGCAAACAGCATTAAAAAAGAGATTGCTACAGTACTTGCTTGAAAATATTGCAGACATTTGTGTATCTTATAATATAATCGAGATGGGTTGATAATGATAATGATGATGATGATAATAATAATAAGTGCAGAGCCCAAACGGTTAGGAGTTGAAAGTTGAAATTTGGTACACAGTTAGGGTACATCACGAGAATGTACACTAAGAAGGGATTTTTTGAAATTTCCCTCTGTGTGGGGGAGAGAGAGAGGATTAAGGCTTATCCTAAATAACCGAGCTTCTAGTATACTATTTTAGATGTGATTTTTTGTTTTTAACTGTGTTTTAGTAGGGTACACCATGAGAATGCACCCTAATAAAAAATTTTTGAAATTATCCCGCAGAGGAGAGGAAGAGGGTTAAGGATTATTTTAAAAATCTCAGCTTTACTGTACTATTTTAGATGCTTTTTTTTTTTGCATTTTTGCAGAAAATCAAACGTATTTTTAGACCATGTAAAAATTCTCTAATTAATCTCAGAAGAGTAGACGTAATTCTTGCACCTAGTGAAAACAGGTAAGATCAGCTATAATCTAATAATCTTTATCTTCGCTATTGTTACTTTTTGCTCAAGCAACACTGGGCTCATCTGCTAGTATATATAGAGTGTTCTGTAAGTCTGGAACAGTAAAAGTTATGTTGACCTTTGTTTATGTTTTTGCATGTAATGTATGGTGACAAGTAAGGAAGAATGAATTCAAATTATTTTGATGGTGGGGAATCACAGCCAGTGTGAAGTTGCTGAAAAGTTTAACAGGCTGCATCCAGTCTGTTGTGTTCAATTGTTGGAAGTTTAGATGCAGCCTATTACACTTTGTGGTAAACTTCACACTAGCTGTGAGTCACCACCATCAAAATAATTTGAATATATTTTGACTATAAAAGAAAAAAATTTTGTTTCTAAAACTGTAATTAGTGCAAAACTAATGATACAGTAAAATAAATGAATAAGGATGTTGGTGGGCTAAATTTCTCTACAGTATTTTAGACAAGTACCCTCTTTCTTTCTCATTAATTGCTTGTGTCAAATCTATCATAGTGAATGAATATGTACTATAATTAAATAGTTTATACTATAGTATGTTTCTAAATATCTATAACATTATATAATAGCATAGCATATTTTAATCTGTTAAATTCTTTGGGCATTGAGAAAAATTATAAATAAATATACAAAATTACATGGTCTTTATAAAGATGTTATACAAGTCCTATATAAAACTAATGGCTAATTTGATCTTGTTTAGTCGGTCACTGTGCTAATTTGCATAACAAGTAACTAGAATAAGTCAAATAAATAATCTAGAATGCTGCACCAATCATCTTAATTAGTTTTACGAGATTCTGTTCAATGTTTGATACAAAGTTGTTGTGTGTATCGAAACAATGTTTACTCTCTTTTATTGTCGTTTATCCTTTAATACTAAAAATTCAGCCAGTAATCAATTTTAAACATTATAAATCTTAAATTCTTCAATCAATTGAGACATTAACAATTTGTAAAAGTAAAAAAAAAAAAAAAAACACTGCAAATGTATTGAATATCTGAAGAATGCTGTCTGAGTCAAAATAATTTAAATTAATACAACAGAAAGAATTCAGTTATTAATTTAGAAGTGAATTAATAAAATGTATTCATCAATTTGAAATTTGTTTTAGCTTTATTCTTATCACATCACCATTGATGTTAATGGTAAATGGAAAAACTGTGTCTTTGTTTTTACATACATTTAATGTAAGTTTACAGTAGATGCTCAATTATCCAAAGTTCAGAATGCTATATTTTCAATATATTTGGGCATATTCCTATTGATATATTCAAATTTCTCAAGATCAAACTTCAAGAGCTAAGGAATCATTGTAAAATACTAGTTTTATATTAAATACTTAATCATATATTGAAGTATTCAATATTCAATCATCTATTTGCAATATGTACATCAGTAGGACAACAGTAATAAAGATAATATAGAAACAAATCTTCCAACAAACAATAGCATATACAAATAGTACAACAAGGAAAGTATCACAGTGATGACAATATTTGTTTCTAATAAGATGGAGAAACTGACCAGATGATTGACATGAAGTCCGATGTATGCCTCCTCTTTAAGTAATCCAAGTTTGAGTCCAGGTTGAATCACCCAGATTTGTGTTGTTGGTCTAGTTCAGCCATCCCATTGTGGATTTTTCTAAGTCCATAAACATTAAAAATTATCTTCTTAGTACCCATATAGTAGAGTTACATAAGTAAGATGGTGAAATGTATGAGCAGGATAGTTATATTAAAGCCAAATGACTACTGGATTAGATTGGGCAGTAATACAGTCCAATCTAATCTAGCAATCATTTTGCTGTAAAATAGAGAAGAATAATATTGAAAACAGTCTGAAATATTTAAGCATGCTTAGTTTGTTTTTTGTTATTCAATTGAAACTAAATAAAAGAAAATTGAATAAATTTGCATAAAAGAATAATATAGTTTAGATTCATAATTGTTTGTAGCACCTTAGTCAATACTTAGAAAAGGTCATTAAAGATCATAGGAATTTTTGGAGGTGATCTGACCTAAATATATCAGGCTTGTCCCTTGCCACCCAGCCACTGTATATGAACCTTAGAAAATCTACAAAGAGCTTCATTAAAGAGTCCTATTAAATTAATGCTCACAAATTGGAAACAGTAAAAAAAAATTTAAAGACAGAATTCTTGCCTTCACTGCAATATTTTCTCCTTGTTGTAACCCAAGTATATATCATTTCTAACATTTACGAGTAAAGTGAAAGCTAGCTTATTTCATAACAGTATTGTTTTTAAACATGAATTTAATAAATGAAAGAGTAAATGACATCAGTTCACCTTATAATATAAACGAGATGGGTCGATAATGATAATAATAATAAGCACAGAGCCCAAACGGTTAGGAGTTGAAAGTTGAAATTTGGTATACAGTTAGAGTATGCCACGAGAATGCACATTAAGAAGGGATTTTTGGAGATTCCCCCCTTGGAAGAGAAAGCAAGGGTTAAAGATTATCCAGAACTCAGTCTTCTAATGTTCTATTTTAGATATCTTTTTTTGCATTTTTGCAGAAAATCGAACATATTTTTAGACCTTTCTAAAAATTCTCAATGATATTTAGTTTTCCATTGTATTTAAAGTTGACACAGGGAGCACATGCGCATAAGTTCACTTTATTCAAACTTTTTGTCTTAATTTTATGTTCAAATTTATATTTATGAATGATTCTGGAAGATCCAGCTTATTTTTCGAATTAAGTAAACCTAAAGAAGAATCCAGAAGGGGTTACAAAAACGTTTGTTATTCATTACTTAGTGGTACTATGCACCAGTTAGTGGTTGCTGTGAATCTTAATTATTGTTATCCCGGTGTGGAAAGCATATATCTAAAAATTTTCTAATTAGTCTCAGAAGAGAAGGGACCTAATTCTTGCATCCGGTGAAAACGGGTAAGATTGGCTATAATCTAATAATCTTAATCTTTGCTATCATTATTTTTTGCCCGAGCAACACTGAGCTCATCTGCTAGTAAACATATAATTTAATGGATAATGAGAATTCTACTGTAAACTTTACACATAATCATTACTTGGCATATAAACATTAAAACAACAGTAAGAATACTAATTTATTTTTTATTTCATTAAAATATTTTAGGAATTTAAGCAAAATAATATTTAAAAAATGCTCATTTTATAGTTACAATTTCTTTACAAAACATACAAAACATATTTAAAATTTCTTTGGTATGTAACATTGTTCAAACCCATTCACATTAAATACAATTAAGAAAAAAATATAAATGCTCAAAAGAAATATTAATGAAAAATCAATGAAAATTTTGTACTATATTGTCAACTTCATCCAAAAATATTTTTCTTTGTTATTTGCATTTTTCTGGCTTTGATAAAAATGTACAACTTAAAATTTATTACAAGAAATTTCATAAAATAATAATCTACAATAACAAATATCTCTAATGCAAAAATATTTAAAAAAATCTTTTGAAACACACAAAAAAATATAACAATTAATGAATGAATTCAATAATAGATGCCCAGAGAAGAATAAGTTTCAATTATATACACACAATCTTTGGAAGGAAGTTATCCACTTAACAAAAATTATGATTTAATAAACTTAAATCCAATCTAAATGCCTTAATATAAATGTAACTATGCCGCTAATTTATCTCTGTCTGATATAACGCCATGTCAAGACTAGACTTTAAAACAAATATCACAACGGCTTATTTTTTGTAACACAGACGTGATCCACAATTAATTAAAAATAGCTCTTGTTTTTTGTAATGTAACAACAATAAAAATAACAACAACAACAATTATTTAGTATGTCTAAAATCTAACAACATTAAAATTTGTTTTTAATAATTAACAATTATATTTGTATAATAAACATTTTAACAAACAACCTTATTAATTTAATAAGTTGTTGGCCCTTTGGTTGGAATTTAATTTTTATAATAATATAAAAATGACAGAAACATCCGTTGAATTTTACAAATTCAAACATCCGTATTTGTTGAATATAATTTAATGGCAAAAATATTCTATAATCAAGTAAAAATAGTGTAATTTAATAATGTAACTAATGATCAATAATTCTTGATTACTATAAAGTAATATAATTCAAGTAATAAATAAATCAATGTTTAAAAAAAAAAAAAAGGAAAAAAATCTGTAAGAGATATTACAGACTTTTGTAGTGTTTGATACAAATTCAAGGATTAAAATTAGGAAAAATTCTCAGCAATCATTGCTTTTAAAAAATAATGGTATGACAATACTTTCACAGTGAAATATTAGCTTCCATCTAAATCCTTCTATCAAAACTAATTTAGTTTAGGATCATTAATATGGAAGCTAATCACCATAATATAATTTCAGAGTTTAAAATATCATGCTATTTCAAAGTCATATAAATATAAAAAATGGAATGACAATGAAAATATATTTAATTCTTGTAAAAATTAAATTGCTTCTAGATGAAAAAATACAAATTATTTCATTCAAATGAGGAGGAATATTTAAACTCATATCACATTAGTTAATGTTAAATTTCATTATGGCATCAAATTGCAAAGTTGTTAACTTGAAAAATGTAACCTTCTTTAGAAGTAATCATTGTCTCATTAATAAATAAAAATAATTAACAGTACAACAAATTTGTTGTTCAATACTCACATTAATACACTGTATCTTTGCAAGTTAATAAAGAGATCAAAATAATTACTACTCCACTTTAAACTGTAAAAGAAATCTTAAGTTTAGAAAAATAATCACTTGTAAAAAAATTACATTTACATATTTATATAAAATCCTGACCATCAGAAGTCAAAAATTTCAAAACTTTATTTTGGATTTATTGAAATTTTGGTATGTAAAAACCTTATTAATGTTTTAAAATTATTAACATAGCCTGTATTAAAATTATAAATCTGAATAATTTAATTTTATTGAAAGTGTTTTATCTTTAATGTAAAATATATAGAAAACATTACTGAATATCTCAGATTTTTAATATTGCATTATTTATTCAATATATAGTTATCAAAGCAAATATTTCGAAGCAGTCAGTCTGTAATAAAAGTTTAAAATACTTATCTCTGTATTTATTTATTACAGTAAATTATGCACTTATGTGTGTTAAACAATTTAATAAATTAATTGTGCCTCACAAACTGTTTTGAATTCCAATCATTTGTCAATATATAAAATATGTCATTCTAAGAACATTATCTGAGATTAAAAATCTGAAAAAGATTATTTCATAAAATGATAATTTTGAAAAAAAAAAAAAAAATCATTGCTTTGGATTTATTTTACAATCAAAACTGTATCTCAAGAAAAAAAAATTTATTTTTTAAATTAAAAAAAAAATGTAGTGATTCATTTTCTAAACTTAAGTAATGTTAATTTTATGCTGTTTCAAATTCATAGCTTAAAAACAAGCATAAATTGAAAAAATAATGTTATAGAAACATTTATTTACTGTAGCACCAAAATTAATAAAAATTCTTAAGGAAGTTTATGGTATGATTTTGCCAGAAATATAAAACTTTATAAAACAAAAGTTTTCTATATAAAAATTTGAAATCTAATATTATATGTATTGCTAATCTTTAATGTGTAAAATAATATTGAAGTTATTCAAATCTGATTATATCAAAGACATAAAAATTACTCAAATTTATCAAAATAATCTAGATATTTAAAATATTTTTTTATAACAATCTAAAAATATTTATATCATACTACCTAATTAACTAAAATATGACAATTTGTATCACCATTAATTTGTTCTCCATATGTCAGCTATTTAATACTTGAACTCTGTAAGATAGTTCTATTTATGGAATCGACGTACCCTTCAAAATTTTGTTCTGGTATGCCTTGAATGCTAGAAGACAGAGAAAATTGTTCTTCTTCTTCACCAACAAGCACGTAGAAATCTTCATCTGTCTGACAAGAAGCTTCTGAGAAACTAACTGGATTTTCTTCTAATTCTGAAAGAAGTTGATTACCGGGTACTTCTGGAAGACTTGTGATGTAAGCTGGATACACGAGAGGTGCTGAATCGGATGGCAAAGAAATCTCTTCGGAATCTTTTATGTCACCACAAGCATCATCTTTACCTGGACAATCCATGCAACAGCTATGTCCACCCTCTTTACATTCAGTTTTGCATTTGCATATTTCAGCTTCCCTAACTGATGTTGATATAATATCGACACTGTTCATTGTATTATTATTTTCGACTAACAATGCATTTTGCATATTTAACAAGTTGTTATCCTGTATAAAATCTATTTCTTTGTTTGCAATACTCGGCAACTCTGGTCCCAGCATTTGAGATGAATTGAGAAACTTCAAATCAGTTGCACTTCTAACCTGTAGCTGACTTAAAGCTTCGGGAAGCAAAATGCTTGCTCTATCAACTTTGTTCATAGAAACTTCATTTTCATTGATTTGATTATTTATAAAATTTACATTTGTTAATGGAATAACAGCATATGCTAAAATAAAGTGATTTATAAGTAAAGGTACTATAAGTTAAATAATTTAAACAACAGAAAAATAATTTTACTACCTGTTGTTGATATTGTAGGAATTTCTGGATTCATAAATTGCTTATTTGTATTAGTGTTGGCTTCACTACACATTGAACCTAAAAGATCTTGAACATTTATTGAATCAATAGAAGTAGACTGGATTAATGGCTGAGTTATAGAGTTATCTTCCTAAAATTAAAATGAATATGTGTAAATTTTAATTAAGTAATTATAAAAATAATAAATTTAAATCATTTAAATTATATGAAATTAATGCTAAACAAAGAGAAAACTTACATTCAGTAATTATAATTTCATTACTGAAAAATGCTCATATTAAAATGATCCAGCAACAAATGACCAAATATAAATTAAAATTATAAATAAGCAAAAGCTATGTCTTGTTATAAAATTTACATTACAAATTTAATCTCTATAAAAAGCTAAACAATCAAATAAACTCTGCAAATATTTCATTACAAAATATTGAAAAGATTTATCATATATTCATTGCATCTTAATTATAAAAAAACTAGTTTCTTCATTGGTAAAATAATTCAAAATAATATTTTGATTACATAAATTACAATTCAATAAAAGTGAGTTGGAATGCATAAATATTAACTGTGAAAGTACTGATGGAAGTGAACTAACAGAATAAAAACTTCCAATTTCATCAGGTGCCTATAAAAAATGTCTAACATGAGTGTGCTTTTCATTGTTTGGAATTATTCTGTCAGTGAAAAAATATGTTATAAAATTGTTTTTCATTCTTTTAATTAGAAATATTTTTAAACATCTTGTTAAACCCCAAGAGATTATAGAAAATAGCATTTAATTTATAATGAGTTAAGAAAATCAATAGTTCTTCTACTGTTGATGACTTTCCTTATAGCCATAGTAATCTTCAATTCAGGCTTTCAGCCAACTTTCTTTCATCTACTTTTAAAACTATTTACAGTAGAGTCCCACTAGTCCCTGATTCTCAGATTAGCCAAATAATTGAAATAATGCAGAAGCAAGCAGTAAAATATGTCTGGTTTATATAGACCCAATGCCATCAATGACTTTTGTTTCTGTTTTTGTGTGTAAGTACAGTATAGATCTGCTGTTTTAATAGGCCATGTCAAACACTGATTTATTAATTTTGTACAGTATTAATTTTGTACTACAATAAAATACAATTTTTTTGTTGTGGAATTCTAAATCTTTTTGTACCATTAATACCATTTAAATTCAACTGGAAAATACCAAAAGTGTATATTTTGAGAGCTAAAAAGTTTCCTCTCCACCAACTGAAACATGTTTGGATTAGCAGGACTCTACTGCAATTAAAAAAAATTTCTTGACTTATAGAAAACCATGTTTTTTTCTAAAGAAAGTTATAAAAAATAAACTTTGATTAAACTTTTCAAGATTAAAATTAATAAATGAAACTTTACCTCATCCTCTCTATCATGACGATTCATGTGTGTCTTCAAACTATAATGAGTTGTGAATGTCTTCAAACAACCATCTTGAGTACACGAATAAGGTTTCTCACCTATATTTTATAATCAATTAAATATAACTTATTAATTATAAATATTTTATAGAATCATTAAAAAATGACCATTTATTTATTTAGAATAATTTTAGCACTATGCATTTGAAAAACATATCAATATATTAAATTTTTATATTCACTACTCTTTATTTATTCTCAGCCACTATATGTAAAACAGCGTAAATGATACTGCTTCAGATGTAACTATATTAAAATATAGTCTTTTATTCTTCTACTGTTATAAAAAATCACATTAATTTAATTATGAAAACTGAAATTACAAAGTTTTTATAACAGTGGAAAACTAAACATGATTATAATAATAAAAATTATTAAAATTTCATAGCTTTTCAACTTGATATATACAATGCAATAATAATTGTAAATGAACTGCATTTCAAACACACACTTGCATTAAAGATCTATGCAAATTACAATCAATTATCTTATCAAAGCATATTAAAATTCATAAAGATGCAACTTTATAAACATAGTAGTAGTCACACATACAAACATCCATGCATACAAGCATAATTTTAAAACAATGTAAAAACTGAAAAATTAGTGAAAGCAATTTTTCCATAATTGATGTAAATAAGATAAAATTAAATAAAATTGTATTTACTGTATTTCCACATATATTTTTCACACTTTTTTGCCATTTTTTACTAATTGAAATTCAAGATGCAAAAAATACCAAAATTATTTTCAAAGATAGAATTATTTTAAAAGGGCTGGCAGAAATCACAATTTAATAAAGTAAAAATTACATTACTGATACTAATCTTTCGACATTGTGAGGAATGAAGGTATGTTTAGTATCTGTAATGTAATTTTTACTTTATTAAATAGACTATATCAGTATTTATTCTTACAAGAAATCTTGATTAATTAACAGAAGTCATGATTTTATAAGATAGTTTTAGTATGTTAAAAACTTTGCATACATATTTCGAATATCTTGAACTCTGACATCAAACAGTATACAGCCAATTTTTGATAGGTGTGTAAATATTTTTTCTCTTCATAAATCTGCTGATCCATCCTTGACTAACCTTAAACTTGAGGGAAGAAATATTTTGTGTCTAAGCAATATTGCAATCAACAAATCACATGTTACAGCACAGCTGTTGTTGTGTGTTTTTTCAACGTAATAGTTGTTCCTCAAGTTGGGAATACTTTCCTGTCTTGGGACTATGAAATGTACTCACATTGGATTGGGTTGCTTAGAGTTTCTTTTTGTTTATACCAGTAGCAAACAAGTGTCTCACTGACACCAAATTTTTGTTTGACCTCTTGATTTCTGTTCTGTTCAACAAAACATATCACTTTAATTTTATACTATTTGGTAAAACTGTTATTTTTTTCTTGCCATCTCACAAAGTTGCAGTTAATTCTACTTGGTATGACACTAAGAAACCTATTAAAGTGCTGTAAAACATCACAGTTAATAACTCTCCTTATTCCCTACCTTCATAGCCTCCAGCAAGTACAAAGTTACTGTATTCTTAAGCTTATACAAGGAAATACGGGTAAACAAAGTGTCTATGTATCATGAAAATTCTTGTTGGCCAACTCATGTACTATCTCATACACTAAACAATTCAGTATAAGAAGTCTTGCATTTTCCATGCAAAAAGTACTCAAATACTTTGTTTACCCTAAAAACATTTCTTGGAAATACAGGTGCAAAAAATACATGCAGAAATATGTGAAATATGTGTACATTTATGTGAAATGTTTAAAAATATTCCTCTCAAAGTTAAGCTAAAGTTTCAATATAAATCATTGTTAAATATAAATAAATAAACATAAACATTACTATTAATTCAATTCAACTTTTTAATTTCTTTAAATTATAATCAATAAAAAGTGTACAAAACTGAGAATACAAATACATTGCATGTATATTTAAAAATGTACATGTATAATGTAAGCCAGACAAACTACATGTTACAGCCCAAAAAATCTGGCTGTAACATGACTAATTTTAATAATTGGATATAAAGTAATTTGACAGCAGGTAGGTGGCTAGGCTGCAATCTCATGATACATTTAATAATTAAAAACAAAGAACAAAAATAATTAATTTAAATTAATTCTTTACTTTTGGAACATTCTAAATTTAAAATTANACTAGTTAAATATGCAAAAATATACTAAACAAAATGTATAGCAGAGTTCATTGTTAAATAGTTTTATTGTAAAATTGTATATTAAAAATAATTGTGTCATAAAGCTTCTATAAAAAATTATGAAACTTTAAAAAATTGAAAATTAATTATATTTTAAAAATCAATGAAAAATTAAGAACATTTAATGAATTTGGTACTTTTTTAATGCTGATATATTAATGATATAACAGTTTTTTCAATGCATCATACAAGTCAGCTTAATGACTGAAACAAAACTTGTATATACTAAGAAAGCAGCATAGTCTTTTGGAATGAATAAACAATTCTAAAGCATATATTAATATTAATCTGTTTTAACTATACCACATTTAACTATGTTCTTCTAAAATAGTCAAAATATGTTTTTATCATAACTAAAGTTTTCTCTTTGTATTTTCCTTGTTATTAAAATATTACAGTTCTAAAAATTAGAATTTAAAAATTTTGTAGTTTATTATTTATTGGTTTTTTGTAATTTTAAAAATTCTGAAATAATAAATACTTTACCTCTTAAATGTGATTAGCAACTTATTAATAACTAGCAGACCCCGCCACGCCTTGTTGTGGCTCAAAATGTATCTATTATAAATGTATAACACTTCCCCCGTGGGGGAAAATTTTTCGAAAAATTTTTTCTTAGTGTATATTCTCTTGACGTACTCTATTAAAACGCAATCAAAAACGCAAAAACCCGCATCTAAAATAGTATAATAGAAGCCAAGTTTTTCACAGTAAGCCTTAATCCTGTC